AGTTTTATCTTGTTTCATGTACTTCTTTCTTTGAGACAAAAAAAATCACGCCTTCAATTGGATGTACCATGAAAACTTCTGCATTGAGATATTTTCATTATGCGTATAGATGGCCTCAGTGGGATTGTTCGATCCTCGTACACAGTAATCGGTGATTTATTCCCTTAGCACCAAATTTCGTACTTACATGCTTCTGTTGATCAGTTAAATGACGAACAGACATTATGACATCATAAACCAGGTAGCACGCAAGTGCTTCCCCACCACCCGAAGCGGAAGAAGGAGCCAAAGGGAGTTCATTTAACAGAAAAAAATTGAGGGGGAAGGTAAAAAATAATAATGAAAAAAAGGGAGAGATAATGTATCCCAGCATAGTGGTTACCATCTTACCACAACAACTGCATTAGCGTGTAATCATTATCGACCTCTGTCATGTCATTACACTACGGTGTTATTTACCATACATACATTCGTACAGAACAACGAACATTTCTGGTTTTATGGGGGGACCTGTACGTCAGCGCACAACAACCCTATCATAAGTAAAACAACCCAGAGATAATCTGCTAGTCTAATTAGAATCATTGCTTAGCCATATATGCCTTTGTAATGTAAAGGTTGGGGGGTTAGAACACATTGAAAGTAAACGAAAATATATACTCTCTTAACACCAATTGGGTAGTGTATTTTAACTTCAGACGATAGGTTGTCACGACTCTGATCTTCAGGAGAGCACTTGACGAAAACAGAAAATTTCCTCGTTGCTAAAGAACTTTGATTAATGGTCTACTACATCATCACTCAGAGGTGACTCAGGTACCGGTCGTACCGCATGGGGTCTGGACATCAGCTTTGGCGTCCGGACTGTCCGAAGCCACAGTGCGCAAGGAGGAAAAAAGACGAAACAGAAAAAAATTGAAACTAATAATTACAAGGCAAACTGAGTCGTTCCCAACTGGATGGAACGTTGCGCCTCCTGAGCCGGGGTCCTCGTTAGGAAACTGTAATCTTCTACCCGTTAAACCAATAAGCCTACGATTACAAATTACCATTGGTGCTGCGAATTACTCAATCATGTTACACAGCTATCGCTTTCCAACAGAGGGTATTCAAATTTTTCTTTCAATGGAGTGGAATGGATCGGGCAAGGCGTTTCAGTGTTGATAGGTAAGTATTTGGGAACTAAAAACGGATCGTGTAACATGGAGTAATATTGTAATTTGGGGCCACGAGAAATCAATAGCCCATACAATCAAGCAAACACTATCTCTGCCTGAGGCTCAATTCAACTGAGTGCACATCAATCCTTCGATGCGTCTTCGATGCTTCTCAGCCTTCTCCCAACCCCAGTCATTCATACTGCCAGGGTTCGCGTTCAGGCTATCAAACCCCCTGTGGTTGTTCCCAGCAATGCAGCACATAATCCAGTCGGGTTCACAAGTGCCGGACTTCTCAGCCAGCCAGACAACATGCTCGTGGCTTGCGGATAGTCCATAACTCGTTCCTATTATGAGGCGGCTTGCATGAGCAACGCCTTTGTTCGCATCTTACCTGCGTATGGAGCCTCGTGATCATTGATGCCTAATGTTGCCTCATCTCCCTTTTAACTTTGGTCGCTCTTTGCTTTCTAATGTGTCTCAACCCCCTCCTTTATGGCTGTATACAGGCGGGTTGGTCGTTTGCCACGGGATGCGAGGTCGGACCTCACCCTCGCGAAACTCACCTCTGGCGAATCTAGTACCGCTCCAGGACTCCATTCTTGCTTACACATACCGTTATTGGCCGCAACAAGCATCCGTGATACTTGCTGACCAGTTTTCGGACGGCTACACGGCTACCATATGACCTGTGTGCCTGCTGCTGGGTGATATAGGCCAGCTTGAGATGCGAAGCCACCAATGGGTATCTGCCGGGGCTTGAGGCAAGCAATCACGAAAAACAATTGTTACTGATATCGCGCGATTGATACAGAGTGCCCTTGGGTCTACCATCACTAGGGCAGGCCCACTGCGGTGGCAATGGTAGGGGTTGTTGCTGCGGAACTATCAGCCGCAGGAGTTTTAATTCGGGGTTTGCTCCAATCTCACTTGATGGTGAATCCGTCCCTTGCCGGCTTTTTTGCCCGTCTTTTTTTTATCCTTTTCTTTTCTTTTGTGTGTGTGTGTGTGCTGTGGTTTTCTCTTTGAGCCTTTCAACCCTCTTTGAGCCGCCGAAGCTTTACCGTCGTCATTGGCCGTTTCACCATAGATAACCCTTCACAGTTAAACGGTGTAGTCTCGCATTAATTGAAGCTTTAGAGCATGGTATATACAGATGAGCATCGAATGATTTTTTTCCCCTCAGCTTACACCATGCTTGTCCCTGTGTATGACACTATTATCCCCTTCACATTTTTCTTTTTCCATTTGAGCGGACTTTTGCATTTGCCTTTCACTTTACTCTCGGTCCGAACCGATACCAGTGCGCCACTGCCGTACAAATTATGCAACAAATCGGCGCGCACAACTGTGAAAAACAAGGAGCAGAAATAAGATAATGCCCTTGTATCGTGCTTCATGAACTCGCTCCCAGTATCTTCTACGGCTGGCGTCAATACCATTACACATGGATGATACGGAGTATTTCAGACGATTATTGGTTTTACCAATGTTGGCCATATCGGCAACGGGCCACTAAGTCAAGGCATCACCAATGAGCGTGTTCACGGCGGACTTTTGTCTATTGCTTGGATTCCACATGTTTCCACTGTGACTCAGTCCCGGTTGTCTAGCTAAAAATAGGACTAAAAATTTTTTTTCCTCCATGGAAACGCCCGTCGGCCAATTATCCACATGGTTCGGAGCATGGTTTTTTCTAGAATTGTTCGACAACTAGCGCGCACAGCGCACGCAAACGCGGGAAACTGGGAACTGGCTGCGACCAGCGGCGGTGCACGGTTACAAGACTATGGATGTCTCAGTGCCGTGGCCCCGGACAATCCCAGTAGTATGTCAGTGTTTTTTATAACTAGGATCAAGGCGGGAGGCCCCCACGAAGGCTGTGGGACAACACGCTGGGTAATGCATGTGCAGTACCCAATGGGGATAACACTAGTAGGGGCACATCCAGCCATGAGATTATCAGATTGGAATCTTGTCTGCGCTTACGGTGCTGCGCCGCATCCTGGGGGAACACAGTAACGTTCCATCGCCTTTCTGGGGCATTGACAGGCAACGGCCGCCTCATGGATGATTGTATACGGCTAACGTCACAGAAAAAACCACTGTTAAAACGTGTACTGAGAGGTCATACACGGTTGGTTTAAACAAAGGAACTAATTCCTTGCGATTACCTTGGTGGGGAGAGGCAGCCAACTATGTTTGTCGATATGGGATGAGGCTTAGGTCCCCCCAACACGGCACGATGGGAATTATCCCTGGTTGCTACAGGATAATCGTCAAACAATGAATGGCTTCCCCGGCTACCAGACTTCCGGAACTGAGCTCATTTCATTTTCCTTTTTTTCCCCTCTTGCCTTGTTCATTGACCCTCCCATCATTTGCCTTACGACCTTTGGCTGCCGCTTTTCTCCACTTTTCATTAGATCCGAACTTTGGATCGCAAGGCACCAATTTACACGAGACTGACTAACAGGATGCAACGTATGCTTCATATCAGTTCGCGTAGGTAGTGCGATTGAATCGATATTGCGAATGGGGTTCTCGCGGATCTGCCAAGGACATCTCAGGGTGTTTTGATATGAGCTTTAATCTCGACATATCCACAAGCCGAGTAGAAGAGGGGCCTTGCGGCAATAACCATCCCGACGAGGGTATAAGCAATATGAATTAATTAACTCATGATAAAAGGCCCTCTCGAGCAATCCTCGCGAACCAAGAGCCACTAGATTGGCAACGGGTATACACACGAGTCTCATGGTTAGACTGATAACGCGCTAGTACTATAGCACGAAAGCGAGGGATAATAGCAGAACTCACCCAAAACGGCAGGCTACATACAGACAAATAGACCAGACCAGAATAAGATAACACACGATCCACGTTCCCTCTCCCCGAATCTTGGGAACACTCGGCCGTCAGACCCACATCAGATGGGATGGGTACCGGCGACATCCACCTTGCAACCCTAACTAGCCGACGGGACATGCGGTTTTGACTGAAACGTCCTACTGAACCTAACAGCTCCGACACAGCTTTTTGCTCTTATGTCAACGAGCAATTATGGTCCCATACTTGCCCAATGGGGACGTTGCACACCTGATCGTCCATATCAAACACGCTTGCCTCCCGCGTGGTTGGGCTGCAAGCTGTATCCGGACCCGTAGGATGGCCTGCCAGACGGGACGGCGGGGCTACAGACAGGGGCTGGGATTCGTGTAACTACTAACGAGGGCTTACATTGCCCCAGTGGTTGCTCTACAGCTCTTTTCCTCTCGCAATTCAGTCTCTCCGGTGTCATGTTTCTGTTGGAGATTGCAACACGGGACGAGCCATTAGACTTTTGGTATCAAAAGATGAAACAGGGAGAAAATTTCCCATGCTCTTTTGTCTTATCACCTTTTGAGATCACGTCGGGTATGATATGTCGAAGTTGAACTCGCGTGAGAAATCCGAAACGTCATATGTCACTTTGTCAAAGTTCATCTTGAACTCAAGACATATTATATTATTGATCAGGAGCCACCAAGTTACATGCAAGAGACCTCGTACAAGAAAAGCAATCAAGCAATCGTACAGTACAAAATCCAGAAACCAAGAAACGCATAAACCACCATCACTTTTCACATCGAACAGTAGATCTCAAAGACTCTCTTTAAGAGACCCAACCCTCTCGACGAAACGAGTAGTAATCAGCCCAACCCCCAAAGAAACATAGACAAACATGTCAAAAATCTCCCCCACGTTCCCCCAACTCCGATAAAAAGCAAACGACGACGGAACTTCAGAATCTCCCCCACCACCATAGAGAACCATCTATAAACCAAGAGACCCCCACAAAAGATGAACACCACCAAACCAGTCGACGCCGCCTTCGCCAAATCCCTCCCCAAGATCGAGGTACGTAACATCCCATCCATGACATTTTGAACGACGAAACTCACCCCCGACAGCTCCACGCTCACCTCAGCGGCAGCGTAAGCCGCCAATGTCTGCACGAACTATGGCTCCAAAAGCGTGCCGCAGACCCAACGTTTGACATCCCAGATCCCTGGGTCGTGATGCCGCCGGGCAAGGTCGACTACACACTTGATACGTCTGTTTGCCCCTCCTGAGTAAAGATCGTAATCAGCTACCTAGAAACAAAAAAAAAAAAAAATAGTATAGATTTCTAACGAAGGCGGGAATGGATGATTGATAATTGGGATGAGCACTCAATAGATTCTTCAACACCTTCGGCACATTCACCTACCACCTCCTCACCGACCTGTCTTCAATAACATACGCCACAACCTCCGTCCTAACCAACTTCCACGCCGACGGCATCAAGTACCTCGAGCTCCGCACCATCCCCCGTCCCAGCCCCCACTTCACCCAAGAAGCCTACATAACAACCATCCTCTCCACCATAACCGCATTCACGGAACACCACCCGGACCTAACAGCCCGGCTCATCCTCTCCCTCGACCGCGGCGAGCACACCCCCACCGACGCCGACGCCATCGTCAATTTAGCCATTGCCCACAAGCCGCTCGTCGTGGGGGTCGACATCGCCGGGAACCCGAGTAAAGGGGATATGGCGACGTTTGGGCCCGCGCTGGCGAAGGCCAAGGCGGCCGGGTTGGGCGTTACGGTGCATTTTGCGGAGGTGAAGACGCCGGCGAGGGAGGGGGAGCTGGAGACGATCCTGGGGTTTGGGCCGGATCGGTTGGGGCATGCTATCCATGTGCCGGAGGAGCTGAGGGGGGAGATCGTTCGGCGGAGGCTGGGGTTGGAGCTGTGTATGAGTTGTAATGTTCATGCGAAGCTGTTTGAGGGCGGATTTCTGGAGCATCATTTTAGGGAGTGGTGGAGAGTTGAGGAGTGTCCGGTTGTGCTTTGTGTGAGTTCTTTTTTTTCTTTTGTCTTTTTTCTCTTATGCTTCTGTTGTTGCTGGGGGAGGGGTTGGAGGGGGTGATGCTAATGGTGTCTAGACGGATGATGTGGGCTTCTTTTGTAGTCCTGTGTCGAATGAGTATCTGCTTGCCGCGGAGCATTTCGATCTCACTCGTGCGGATGTCATGGATATAGCACGGAGAGCGGTTAGGGTGATCTTTGGAGGCGAGGACGAGAAGAAGCGGCTTTATAGACTATTAGATGAGTTTGAGGCCGGTTATAGAGCGTGATATGGCGTCTTGATACGGTACATGTCTTACGATGAATGATATCATGGGATGCAGAAGCAACAACGGAACAACAATTTGATTGCCTAGAAGATAACACAACGTAAAGGGTATCTATTTCATGCAAACTAGCCCTGCCACCGGAACTTGCCTTGCTTCAAGGTCTGCACAACTCCCAACGGCATGAGCTCCTTACTCACTGCGGTCAAACTGCCATATCTCTTCACCATCTCCCCCTGGTACAGTTCCGCTGTCCACTTCCAGTACGGCGGCATTGTATCCCATTTGTTAGAAAGGACCAGACGGCTGCTGGGGTCCTCCTCCAATGTCATCTGGTTGATGCGAAGCTTTGGTGACTGGTTGATCGTCACTTCGAGCGGGACGCCAACGAGATCATTGTATGCGTCGAGAAGGTGGCTACTATACGTCTCTGAGTAGCGGGCGTACTCTTCCAGAGACATAAAGGCAGTCGGGTCCTCATCGTCACCGAAAACTTCAGCAGAGGCTGGTTCCTCAGGCCCGTCTTTCTCAAATCGTTCTTGGGCGGTGTGATATTCGGTCTCATCCTTGGTGTAGGCCTTTTGGAGGCGGCCGGAAGGCGTTTGCTTGATGTTCTCGCGCATGGCGAGAAGAGGAATGTACGGGTTCGTGAGTTCGAGACCGCCAAATTCAACGGGGAAGTAGAAGAAACCCTCGGGGAGATCGTGAATATCGAATCGCTCAGCGATCATCTTTCGAAGGTGGTCGGTGACGCCGCTGGGGCTATCTGGGAAGATGGTGCGCTCAATGCGGCTAAGTGTGGTAATGGCCATATCGATGTGACTCCGTCCGAAGCACATGGCCGGTTTGGCGAAATTATTCGCGAAGAAGCGACCGAAGTAGCTATTCCATGCCTGAACGAAGGAGAAGATGCTCTTGCATGCAGAGAGCTGGTGCTGGAGCTCCAAGATGTGGCTGTCCACTTCCTCTTGGTCAATGATGAATCGGCCCTCCTGAGCGTCAAGCTTCAAAAAGCCCCACCGGATGTCGCCGGTGGGTAGAGCATTCGAGCCCTCGGTTTGCTCGATCTTTGCGTAGGAAGACAAGTCTTGATACGGCTGTTGGCCGGACCTGTCTTTATTCTCCAGATGCACTGTTCCGGTCTTCTCCTCGTTAAATGCGAGACCCATCACTTGAGCAAACTCGGTCATAGTATTCCAAGCTTTGACACAAGTCTGCTTCTGACCCCAGAACCAGAAATCATCGTGCATGCGATACAAGTAAGCACCATTCGTGCTTTGGTTCACTGCGTAATCCATGCAGAACAGTACAGCCTCCCCGAAGCAGTCCGAGAGTGTATGACTTGTGGGGATTCCGCGTCTACGGGTCTGCACCGTGGCCTCTGGTCCATCTTGAGCAAACTTGAGGGGACACTCCAGGAACTTCTTGAAGAAATCGAGCCAATTCTGTGGCACTCCAAAGTACGCCAGCACAGTGAGCATCGTGGTATGTGGGATAGACGGTCCAAAGTCCTTGAAGTCCGACCGAATGGCCGTGAATTGTCCATGAATACGGGTCTGCACGATAGTCTCCGTAATCAGGAGGTGGAGAAGCGAGTGCTTTGTCTCCAGGGCGTTCTTGCGGTTATCTTCCTCAACATCGTCGGTGTCGTTATCGTCATCATACCCCCGCCCACCTGCAGTTAACGAGGAAGGCAATTGAGTCATGAAATAATCGGTTCTGTACGTATCGCGTCTCGCGTCGTTCACGGACCTGACGCCCCGCCCGTTATCCCTACCCAGGAAGTGTTGACGCCGCACCCGCTCCGACTTCGAGATAGGCTGACGCAGGCTTTTCCAGGCCCAGGTCTTCTGGAAATTGACAAATGCGGTTCGGAAAGTCACTGCCCAATAGAGCCCGAGATACTGGAACAGAAGACTGTCCAGCAGATCCTCATCCTGGAATACCCGGTACTTGCCGTTCAGCTGACGACGCATTTCCAGAGGGAGACCCTCGGGTGGCCATTGCCAGCTATCAAGGGCCGCAAGGCGCATGTTCAAAACATCCGCCACCTCCTGGGCAACAGCCTTGTTGAGCATAAAATCCTTCAGGATGGCGGACTTTTCCTTGGTGAGAGAGTCGGATTTCAAGAGGGCCTTGCTCACCCATTGAAGCGTGTCAACATCAAACCGAGCCCGTGTCGATGTATAGTCATCGCCAAAGGCCTTCACCTTCTGCCGCAGGGTTTTCAACGCTTGCTGAGATTGGTTCGTTTTTGTGAACAGACCGTCAAGGTATTCGTTGATTGTTTTCTCATCTACATTCGCGTCGTTGAACACATACTGCTCCCACGTTGCTCGCTGCTCCTGCATTTCAGCACGTCTTGCGGGCTCGGACTCAGAGCCTTGTTCCTCAGCGGAGTCTCCCTCGGACTCAAGGCCGGTCAGCCACTCCGTGACCAGGTTGCTGTAGAAGGAAGCATGTTCGTGACGGGTGTGCAGGAAGTTTAACTCTTCCTCGAGCTGCGCAACCCAATCGCCTAAGCTCCGGTCCGATACCGACGGGTCAAACTGACACTGCAGAAGAAAGCGGCGGATATTGATATGGGCAGCACGGACGGTAGTGTCCTCCACAGTAGTCTCGGCCTCCGACTCTCCAGATTGTGTATCCAGATCCTCTCGGTCGAAAGCATCATTTGGGTAGCCATTGAGCTTGGTGATTCCCTCCAAGAGAGCCCGTGCCTTGGACCGCAGATCGGGTGCGTCTGCGGCTGCTTGAAGAATCTCCTCTCGTTGCTTCTCAAAGAGCGAGCGCTGTTTGGAAAGCTCGGCGATTTTGATGTCGGTGATGGAGCGAAGGGTTTGCGGAAGAGCCCCAGACATGATTACGTCTACTCGGATTGATGACCTGCTTGAGCGAGAGACAAGGGGATTAGAAGATGTAGTGGAGTTAGAGTACCTGAGATGATCAACCTTCGGATCAGGTACCAGCAAAATAAACAATGGTGTAATGTGTTGGCTTCCCGTTAAGAGTCCAAGAGGGAAATCCGAACTCGGTGGACCAGGAAAGACAAGGAAAGATGAAAGACAAAAAAACTGGGCTGGTGAAACTCTTATTTATATATGTATGCTAAAGGGAATGAGTAAATTAAAATTTCGCCCCTCTGGTGGAGATGGAGTGGGTTGTTGACTTTTAGCCGATGTAGATCTTTTTGAGATCTCACGATCTCACTCGCGGCGGAACAACATCGTCGGACTCCCGAAATGGAAGGACAGCTCAGCTCAGCTCAGCCACGTCGTCAATGTACCATGCAATTCAGTCAAATTTCCGACTGGATTCAGGCGTCGAGTACAGAGCTGATGTTATGCTTCATTCTCGTATCAACATCTGCACCCCAATTTTTCATACTCAATCCAACATTCGTCATACTGCATTTCCAAGAAACTCTTCCCCCGAAGCTCTCCTACGCTTACAAACTTCCAGCGTCGAATGATGGCCATGACTGCCTTTGCAAGGACCAGCCAGGCCAAGTCTTTACCGACGCAGCTTCGCGACCCTTTACTAAAAGCCACCAGTTTGGCTTCCATCTCCCGACGTTGTGACCCGTCCCCTAGCCATCGCTGCGGAAGCCATTGGTCTGCATCGTCACCCCATATTCTACGCGACCGGCCTAAAACATAGGTATTTGCCGACACAGTGGTACCGATGGGGAGTGGAGCTGGTAGGCCGGAGGCTATATTTTCGGCACCAGGTCTGATGACTCGTGGAAAGGCCGTCGGGAAAGAGGCGCAATGACGCAACGTCTCTTTAACAACCGCTTGAAGCTCTAAAGAGAATGAGAGCGCGTCGAGATCAGCCTCTTTTCGTAGTTTCTCCTGCCATAGGAGGCCTTCCTGCGTTCCTAGTTGGTAGACCATGGCTGTTAGAGCTGCAGCTACGCTACCCGGGCCGGCAAACACCAGGTTGACTGCCTCCGAATACACTTCATCTTGAGTCATACGACTAGAATCATCAAGCGGAACCTCTAACCAACTTTTCACGATCCCGGGCTGTGCAGGTAGCTAACCTGTTCGGGACGCCGAAAGATCATCGCGTGGCTCGAAGCCATGAGCGCCATAAGATCTGTGGGGCCCTGTTTGCTGGTGGTCAGTTTGCGTAACACTGTACCGATGAAGCGGCTATTCATGATCCAGCCGTACGATGGGCATAGCGAGAAGCTCCACGCCATCTTGGTCAACTTGCGCATGGCTGAACACATAGTGGCCCCAATCGCAGAGTCAGTATACGGATGCGAGATAACATCGGGGCCATAGATGAGCTCGAGCATGACGTCCATGGTGAACCGGTGAGCCAGCGGTGCCAGATTCACCACGGCCATCTTGCCACCTTGTCTTGATGAGGACTCGGCCTCTGTTCGCGTAAAGAAAAGGTCCACATGCTTGGTTATAACGGGTTCATATCTTGTTATCTTCGCGCTCGTCAAGGCTGGCCCAACTACCTTACGTTTCCTCTGACGATGAGCTGCATCGGTTTCAAGAGCGAATACGCTCGGCACGCGATTGTCGCGAGGGCCACCAAACACGTAGAAGTCGTCTTTTTCGACAGATTTATTAAAACCGTAGATGGCATCAAAGTCTCGTCGGTCGTCGAATGAGAGCCAATTTGGCGCTACGCGGACAACATGGCCATATTTATCATGCAGATGCTGCTCTAAAAGATGATGTTGACCGCCCAAAAACGTGAACAGTCTCCTTTATGTAGATCGGTTAGTTCGCTTGGCAATCTGTATACACAGTAATGGGGTAGATCTTAGCTCAATGAAGGCTAGATTCAGGACGAACCAGAGATTGGTAAAACGAGCCAAGAAAGGCCCGGGGTAGCGCGCAAGCGGGTGGAAATAACACTGGTAGATCACATGGGCCACAAGGGCGGCGAGGGCAACCTGAGCGACGACAAAAACCGTACTCGAGACCATGATCAATATCGTGATGAAGGCGTAACAATTACGGTTGAATAGGTCAGGATGAGTTCGTCCGCTTCACTTTGTACCCCACGTCACATGGTAGGGGGATGCACGTGTCTCGTATTAAATGGCTGTGCCTTGAGAAATGGGTTGCCTGAACATCACTGATATTCCAGCGTACAACCCTCTCGAATACCTTGATCATGGTCTATGGTACTCCATATTGTCTCCCAGAAAATCCCAAATGGTGTCGAGATGGAAATCTAATTGAAGAGTCCAGATGACATGTCCAGCTACCCGGTGGATCGCCATGACATGCCAAAAAAGTTATAGTTTATCAAAGGTACCGTGAAATGACACCAAGAGGGCACGGACCAAGTCGAAGACGCTATGAGGATAGTCTATGGCAAGAGCAGCAGGAGGTACACGCAACCCCAGGTGAACAAATGTGAGAGGTAACAAATCCCCCTCACCCCGCCCGGGTTTAAGCCGTATTTTCAGGTGCAAGTCACATTGTCCATCTATGAAACCGAAGGACGAAGCCGACTATGATCCGAGCGGTGTGCTTGGACCTCAAGACATCGCCATATTTGCATCTAATGAAGCAACTATGGCCATGAGCTGGTCCAGAGCCACTCTCTCCAAACCGGGCTAGCAATCAATGGGCGGGGTTCATGGGGCGAGGCAATGAATTTAAGAGAGGTGCCATGTGGAGACATGAGTTTGACCTACAGGCACCGTAACCCATCGCTGACAATGATAAGGGGTTGCCATTGCAATCGGGGAGCAACGCAGCATTCCATTCCCCGGCCGAAAACAGGAAAAGAATTCCGAGGGATTAATTGTTTCAACCCTGCAGAGCAATGCAGATGGTTAGGCGACCATGAAACCATATTGTGGGAGGATTGTTCATTGAGAGAATTCACATTCAAAGAGCTGAAGAAGGGAAGGAAGGAAGTGACTAGTGTTGATAGTCCGCGCCAAAGCTGGAAGATCGTTCAGAACCCGATGGCCGATCTCCGCCCTCATTGGCCTGGGTCGGTGGGGCCCATCCACTTAGGGGACTTTTGTTCCCATTCAAAAGATTCGGCCAGGTCGGGTACGGCTGAGCAGTCCATCCGAAGGATCCCCTCCTCTCCTGCTTTATCACATCCAGGACCCCAAAGTGCCAAATGACAGCGGCTTCGTCTCCTTAAATATCCCCCCCCTCCAGTTATCGTCTCGTGCCTAGTCGAGACGCAAAGTAAACAACAAAAGAACCAACGTGTTGAATGATGATTGTCCTTGCGTAGGATTCATTCGGCGTCTACACTTCTAGTACTATAGCATCCCACAGACACACAGACACACAGACACACCCCAATCAATCGAACTTTACCCCGCCCATCAACGAATTCAAGATGGGTATGGAATTTGTCTTTATAAATGTCAAGGAGCCGAAGGATGCTCTTCAGCTCGCGAAGGAGCCCGAAATCCGATCTCATGTGGCTCGGTACCAGTGGAAGCAAGTCGAGAATCGCCCATCTCTCAAGCGAAAGAGAAATACGGTGGTATCGGTCTGCATGAGCATAGACTGTTGCTCAACCTGGCAATCACGAAGCGATTCCAAGGCCGACTCTCCCGACAGTACGTCCTCCACCGTCTCCATTCCTCTGCAGTTGGGAGGCCTGCGAGACGACCCTTTTCGGTCCTATCCAGTCGGTTTCAAGTCATTCATGCCGGTGTTCGTGGATCACTGTAAGTGTGGAATTAGCATCACCATCCATAGCAAGTAGAACCATACTGATGGTATTCTATCAGACCTGGTGCATATGGCTGTGGACATCCCCGAGCTCGATCAACCCGGGAACAAGGGCCTTCTGAGAACCAGCTGGTTCCCTTTGGTGATGACCGAGCCCTCCCTGTTCCTAGTCATCATGCTGCTCGCAGCATCCCATTATGCCTCTGTGAGCGAGTATGCCGCAGACATGAAAGTGGACCTCCTCACTCTTCGTTGTGAAGCCATCCAAGCGATCAACGATGCCTTGAAGTATCAACCACCGGACCGGGTCAGTGACGCACTGGTAGGCGCGATTGCGAAGATGGGAAGTTATGAAGCGATGTACGGGAACATGGCGAGTTATAGCGTGCACATGAGAGGACTGACCCGGGCGGTTGGGTTACGTGGCGGTCTATCGGCTCTCGGTCTGAACGGATTACTCCGACGGATGGTAGTCTGGATCGACCGTAATGCTGCCTTCCTGCACGGATCGGCGCTCTATTACCCTGGCGCTACCTTTGCGCCGGGTCAAGCGCTCCCGGAGCCCAATCCTGGTCATTTCCTTGCATCTTCGTGATCGAGCACAATGACCGGGATTTCTCTTTTGTATTTATGTATGTAATATTAGTAGCGTGGGATCAGGAGTTAATATATTTGTGAGTGTTTCGTTCTGCCAGCTGTCTTCTATTTTTTTTTTCCCTCCCTTGAACGACCGCAACGTGGCGTGCTGTCTGAATCGGGATATCACTCGCGGACCACCCTCTATGCGGTTAAACTTCCAGATCAATCATATTGTAATCCGAAGCGCAAATTCTCCCATTGGACCCCCATATGTCAAAAATAAACCAGGACAGCAGAAACCAAAGGGCAATGTCCCAAATCGGACATCACAATTCCCCAACCCGTGCGATCGTCCAGACCCGCCACCAACCAAGAAACACCCAAGTGGAGCCCCCCGCTTACCGTTTCCGGATAACACATACTTAACTCAATTCAATCAAACCGAATATGACAGAAACCCATTGAAGAAACAAAGAGATTCATGGACCTCCGGGAAGAGTAGTTCCAGGGAATATGGAAGTCTGGGTAGACGACATCATCATGGCTCCACAGATCCTTATAAAAGGACTGTGGTCTGACATGTTGGATTCTTCTCCTCGCTCATTCAAACATCGCTGAGAAGTTATAACACAACTCACTCAAACAAACCAACCCCCCCCCCCTTCTTCCTATCTCTATACCATCTCACCCACCCACACACACTAAGAAAGAGAAAATAAAAAGGAACAATGGCCCTTGACGGAAAAGTTGCCTCATCACCGGCGGCGTCAAGAACCTCGGTGCCGCCGCGGCCCGCGAGCTGGCCAGCTCCGGCGCAAACCTCGCCCTCCACTACCACTCCGACAGCAGCAAGAACGATGCCACAGCACTGGAGGCCGAGCTGAAGAAGTCCTACCCCAGCATCAAGGTTGCGTTCTATCAGGGCAACCTGACCTCCGCCGGAGCCGTGACGAAGCTCTTCCAGGATGCGCTGAAGGACTTCGGCAAGATTGATATCGTCGTCAACACGGTGGGCAAGGTGCTGAAGAAGCCTATTACTGAGATTACGGAGGAGGAGTATGATACTATGTTTGCGTAGGTCTATTCCTGAGCTATTGATCCACTTGCTTCGATATATATTTTGGGAGCCGCGACAGGTCGTTAACGAGTGATGGAACTGACACATTGGAATTGGGAAAATAGGATCAACTCCAAGACGGCATTCTTCGTTCTCAAAGAAGCCGCCGCGCACGTCACGGACGGAGGCAAGATCATCACTATCGTCACTGCCCTCCTCGGTGCTTTCACGGGATACTATACTTCCTACGCTGGTAGCAAGGCTCCTGTCGAGCATTTCACTCGGTATGTACTTACTTAGCGTACTATAACCAGTATCATTCGCATCCACCCACAAGTCCCACCCCCAAGCACAAACACTAACAAGTCAACAGAGGCGTCTGCAAGGAACTCCAATCCCGCCGGATCAGTGTCAACAACATTGCCCCGGGACCAATGGACACCCGTAAGTTACCCACAAAGAAATGTTAAGAACAAGGGAGCTATGTCTTACCCAATACTCGAAATAGCTTTCTTCTACCCCCAGGAATCCCCCGAGGCTGTCGCGTTCCACAAGTCCAATGGTATGGGCAACCGTCTGACGATGGTCGAGGATATCGCTCCAATTGTTCGGTTCCTCTGCACGGAGGGCGCCTGGATCACTGGCCAGACCATCTTCGCCAACGGTGGATATACTACTCGCTAAGTGGGTGATTGATGTGGAACGAATGTATGGTGTTATGACAATGCCGAAGGTGTATGAGGATTTGATACCGTGGTTTGGAGATATATATATATAATGTGGTTAAGATATCAGGAGCTTGAATACTGGGTTAGCTTTTGGATAATACGACTGCCCTTTTGCTTCGGAAGATTACCTGGGTATAGCAACAGTTTCCATGAGAAGGTTCAATTGAAGGACGATGACAATGGCCATCTCGCGTGTCCATTTCTATTATTAAAGTCGAATAAGAATCGAAGCCAAACAATATCATTAAGCACAGGTATCATAAATCAAGTCTCATTAGTCATACAGTGGCCGATGGCCCAGCCTTCGGTCCTTTCCGCTCCTGGAGCGTGCCATAATTTAGAGTATCTGCCTTCGCCGGTTCCGACACATCGTACGCATCGACCTCCTCTCCGTACGCAATAGACATGCTGTCCACATCCTGATCGACTTCTGACCAGGTGGAGCTGGTTGCGGGAACGGGGAAGAGCCGGGTTAGGATGTAGTACATGAGGGCAGACACAAATATTCCCGAGAAGTAGTTCACGTTGTATATGTACTGGGCGCCTACAGGCACTGTGCGTCCGACGGCACCGGCAAAGCCGACGATATTGACGAGGATTCCTGCAATATACGAGGCATATGCCTGCCACGAGAAGCCGTAGACAAATCGGTATGCGGAGCCCTCCTGCGCAGTGTACAGTTCTTTCACTCGCAGATAACCCTTGCGAACGATGTAATAGTCACAGAGCATAGGGCCCGCGATGGAAGAAAGGAAGATCGAGTAAGCTGAGAGATAAGTCGTGAAGCTGTTAGATGAGGAAACGAGGTTCCACTGCACTTCTGTCAGATAAACCCCAAAGGAGACGCGTCAGGGTACCTACCGGATTCATAGCCAAACCAACTGCAGCGCAAATATAGCTTCCGCGCCGGATTGTAAGATACCGCGGAAGCAATGCCGTCATATCGGTACCCGCGGAAACTGAGTTTGCAGAAATGTTCGTCCCCAGCTGAGCTAAGGCAAACCCTGTAGAGATTATAAAGATCCCAAATCGCTCCGCTGAGCTGGCGCCAACCTGGAATTTGCCCAACAGGTCGAGAGGATTCCACACCATCTCTCCGCCAAAGATAACTGCCGAGGATGAGGACGCAATGATACCGATAAAAGAGGTGATTCCAAAGCCGATGGGAATTGTCAGAAGCTGGGACCACAGTGCATCCTTTGGTTTCTTGGCGAACCTCGAAAAATCGGGATCGTTCACAATCAGCGTCGCAAAATTGCCCAAGCAGCTCATAATCGCCTTCACCACCGCCCACGCGAGCGCACTACCGTGTACGGTATGGGGCTGATGCACAATGGGCCCAAGGCCTTTGGCGCGTGCAATGGCCCAGGCGAAAAAAGCGATGGCCGCAATCGGCGAATAGATTGCCTTGACGGTAAAGAGATGCCGGAGTTTGTGAACAGGGAACCAAAGGGCTGGCAGGGAAAGTAGCCAAAAGAGGAAGAAGCTCACGAAGTCCTTGGTTGTGACGCCCGAACTGGCGGGAATGGAGTTGGGGAGGCGGTTGTAGCTGGGCCAAATTGAGCTGATCATCAATGTCACGCACTGGCCTATTTTGCGTCAGAGAAGTCCATGACAGCATCATAAAACACTCTCATGGGGTGGGTGAGGGGCCCAGAACACAGTGCATACCTCCGATGTAACCCTGAACACCGTACCAAATAACCGCCATTGCAGCTCGATTGAATACCGGCCAGAGCGACCCCCAAACTCCGAATGTGGACCTACAGACCACCGGAAAGGAAAGGTGGTAAACGGCACCAATGCGACCCGTCAAGCATACAAAACAGGCAGCAATGAAGTATCCGATCCAGACGCAAATCCATGACTGCCACCACGACAAACCATCCACGATCATCGAGGACGAGATCATCCACGTGTTCTGCGTGGAACGAAGTTGTTAGCATTATGCTTTTCGGTGGGAAGGTGAAAGGATGGTAGCCTACAATATTCAAGGAGTCCGCAATCCAGAAGGCGACGAAGTTGAACCATTTCCATTGACGACGCTCGGGTTCGACTGTAAATCACAACGCAATCCCAAGGCCCACTCGGTCAGCTTTACTCGTCCTCTGGGGATATGATCTCTAGTGCACAAAAGGAAAAGCGGCAGCAAAGGGCGTCTCGAGGAGATGCACCGGCCAGTTCAAATGATCTCACCTGGCCGCAAGTCATGGTTCGTCAACATCAATTGTGTGTTGGTCAGGCCGGGTTCTGACGGCACCTCCAACTTCTCAACCCACTCTTTGATTCGCGCCATTGTATGAGAATCCCCCGTTGACTTGGGTGGGAGTGAGAGTGAAGCCGATGGCAAATGTAATGGTCTATGATTCAAAGAATAGAGCAATTACATTCAGGAAGGAATAAGGATAGTTAAGTGGAGTCGAGGGGAAACAAGGGGAAACAAGATGAATTGCTGGGAGGGGGAGAGAGAGAGAGAGAGAGATGTCCAGCAGTAGTAGTACAAGTGAAGTAGTATTCCTTCTTCTCCTCCTCTTCGCTCCCCCGTTCCTCCTTCTTCTTTATAAAGAAAAACAAAGGTTGTCAGTGTTGCAGTATGGGGAAGGCATTATCGTCATCGACCACCCCTCGTTCAACCAATGAGGAGTCCCCCAGAACCGGAGATTCCAGACTCCATCCTCGCCCACGATAATCCTTGAGGACGTTAACCAACCTTCATGACAAAAGGCTGATAAGCGGACCATCTGATCGCTGCGCCACCGTTTCCTTATCACCCTCCACGAGCCGCTCGCCAAGGGGGGAAAGTGAGAGGTGACCGCGCGTTGGTTTTCTGTTGCTCTATTTGGTCGAGTAACAAAAGTGAACGACCCTCCGTTATCTGCGATAAGCTCTCCGCAAACAGGACATGACTGGGGCTCCTCCGGCATCTCCAGCCTATGATGGTCGGGCTGGTGGAGCCACGGTGGAGTCGGTGGACTGGGCATATCTAATCGCTGCCTCATCGTTTCCCGTGCTGACTCGATCACATCGAGTAAGCAGTTAACTGTGCATGCTTTTTTGTTTCCCCCGCGGATGATAACGATAAGGAGATGTCACGTGTGTTGACGAGACCTACTTTAAAAGTTCTCCCTGATCCCGTTGAAGAAAATCTAGCACTCAGGACCAGTAGAAGACCCCTTGTCTCTTTAATTTAACTCCAAGTCATGCTATACTAGCAGATCTATAAGTGTATCGCTGTTGTTGGCACGGGGCCTAGTCCTTAGGGAATTTGAATTTGAATTTCCTTTTTTTCTCTAAAGAAAAAAAAAAAAGAAGGGGAGAAGAGAAGAACAAAGAGAACACGCCGATAAGACTTAAACTTGGATGTGATCCTAAGAACCGAAGGCCAACTAATGACCGTAGTAATCTACAAAATCCAGACAGAAATGATTCTTCAGCTCGCGCCGATTCCATATAGTGGTCTAGAAGACATACTGCAATGTTTCATAGAAATTTCTACGTTTAGATTCAGTTAGACTAAGAACTTGGCCAATGCCATCACAGGTTCTCGATCGAATTATGGCAATATAGCCGTGAGCATGGCACACATTGAGCAACACAATACCAGGGAAGTCAGCTTGTACTATTTCCATCAAGTGTCGCATACCAAATCATGTCCATATACTTCCTTCAATATGCTTTGGAACAATATAAATTGTAGGCAATGCCGCTATCTATATACAACATATCAATGATGACATCGGAAAAAAGTGCATCGTCATACGCTCATCGAGTTTGATATGTAGACAATGTCTGTTAGGCACACTAGACTCCACCATCAACTCCAGACAACCGTCCAGTCTAATTCACGCAGCTAATTTTACCAACACAATCCCATCATCCCTTATTCCACTTGCCGAACTTCACATAGTCATCATAGAGGCCCTTGAAGATCGCACGCCCGGATACATCTAGTCCAGCATTCAATGCCCGCATGGTATCCCGTGACATGACATCCAAGACAGAGTAGAGACCCGGCAGGATGGCAGTTTTGACTTCTGGAGCCAGTGAGCCGCGCAGGGAGCTCTCCGCATACTCCATGATGAGGTACTGGAGATACTGACCCGCGATACGCTTAGCTTTCTTGGTCTGGTCAGTCAAGCCCTCGTGGCTCAGCCCGGTCTGGGTGGGCCTCGACACCGCAGAAACGGTCGGGTCGCAAAGTGATGTGAGGAGACGGGTAAAGTGCACGGCATGGGCAGCCTGCAGAGGTGCAAGCCAGAATGGTTGCTGGGCAGATCTCTTCTCCGACAGCATCGACCTTGTACGCTTCTTACTGCGAGCGAACAAGCAGTTAAGCAGTCGCTGCATGGCAGGCAAAATCAGATGGAAACGACCACCGAGTTTCTGGCGGTGAATACCAAAGAGTACGCCCATCAACCGACATAGCCGAATATAGATTGATGCGGAATATTCCGGATCAATTAGTGGGCCTGCCTTTGAAGCGCACACCGCAACACATGCCAGAAGACTGTCGATGTTCCACTGAGTAATGCAGCGTGTGTGGCTACGCAGAAGAATATCTATACATTCAGTAGCAAGAGTGAAGTGTTCGATGGATCTGCTACGGCAAACTGAATCCGTGACAGCAGTGCACAGAAGAGAGAGTTCTTTGGCCGTGCTGCTTTCCTTATCATCGACAGGGGTAAGTGCAGCAACAGCTAAGCCGGAAACGAGGAGGTGGTAGGCGGCATTTTCTCCATCAAATCCAAGTTCTCGGATGTCTTGGATCACTTGCGTCAGTTGGTCCACAGTCATTGATCGAAACCTGGCAGTTGTTGATCGAATAAAAAGCTGCTGCTCTTCGCCATACATGTGCTGGAGAGGCAGTGTCTCGACGCAGCTTATAACAGGCAGCGTAATACTCTTCTCTGTGCCTTTACCAGCCAAGACACGACGCCTAATGAGCCTTCTCAGTGAGGACCCTGAGTCCACCGATTTTTCAACATAATTCTCAATCTTGGTCAAGAACCTCTCAACTTCAGCGTGGTCAGTCGCCAGGTCCTCAAAGTCCTCCAATGCATCCAAGATCTTGATCAAAGTAATGGTCTCCTCTAATTTCTGCTTCTTGCATTGATCTTTGACGGACTTGACCTCCATCACAACCAAATCAAAAACCTTTTGGCGGCATGCAGCCAACTCCGTCTCATCAACACCGGAAAGTCGCTTACGGTGGAGCCAGAGCTGAGATAAGGAGATCCTCAAGAAAAAGCAATCCATGGAATCACGGTCAATAGATCGTAACTTGGACGCCTTTGAGGAGACTTTGCGATACATTTTCTTAAACAGTCTGCGACAATCCTCTTCGGAGAGAACAAGAAGCTTAGATACGACTGCTCGATGTAAGTTTCTGAATGCTTTCATGATCTGCAGGTCAACCTCTGTCCCCTGCAAGCTAACAGCTTTAGCTACTGTCCAGATTGGTTCCCAATCGCTGGTCAAAGCTGCCGTAGACTTGGGCATGTCGGCCAGTTTCGCCATCAGGGACAATATCCCTACGGTGATTTCAGCCGTGCTATTTTCTTGTATAACAACATCTTGCAGAAGGTCTAGGAGAAGTCCCCTCTGACGGCGTGTGATAAGCGCCGTAGGGATTCTCTGGAGACTCTCAACATAAAGTCTCCGATTCGAGGCGTCCTCTTTGACTCGTTCCGATAGGACAGTAATCAGGTCAACGGCGATGGCAGGAGCATTAAGAAGGTATTCGTGGCAGACCACACTCGCCCAGGCCTGTAAGAACCTTGCCTCAGGTGGAGGTGTCTCAAGGGTCGACGACGGGTGATACTGGGATGTTGCTAGAGAGAGCATCTTTTGAAAGAGAGAGCGGCGGGTTTCAAAGTTGACCTCGCGCCAGACATCCGGACATCTGACAAGAGTCAGAAAATAGGCCAAGACGAGGTACATTGAATCGAGAGTGTCCACCCGACCATTCCATGGGGAATTATTGGACGAGGGTGTTGATTTGCCAGAGCTAGATTCCATAAACTCCGCAATATCATTAGTGAGCAAGTTGAACTCATTAGTATAGCTGGACTTTGCAGAGACACAAATGGCGGTAACAGTAAATCGATATGCTTCAAAGCACTCCAGAGGTGCACACAGTTTCTGCATCTGGTCCTTCTGGTGGCGCTTGATAGACTTCGCTGCAGCTTCAACTAACCCCATAATTGTAGCGGCAAGAGCGCTGTCGGTTTGGTGCACATTGTTCTCAAGAAGGCTGCGAGTCAGCCTCCACAACCGCCATCGCCAATGCAGGTGTTGCTTCGAGGATAAGGTTGACTTCGATGTCTTAATAATAGAGCCCAGATCTTCACGGGAATCTGTAGCACTCAAGTCACGGTTTCTAAAACCAGCTTCCAGGATGAGAAACTGAGCATAAGCTCCGGCAGACTTGGAAATCTTGCCATCCTCGGCCCTAATCTCAGTTGCAGCTGCATGCATTTGCGCAGAAGCATATGTATGGGTAAGGGGGCTGCGCATCAGATCACCGTAGACATTGCACACATCATCGTCTTCCCAGACAGTGAAAAGGCTCAAGCTACTGTCTTGAGAGCGTGCCTCTTCTACTTCAATGAGTTGCTCATACCACAACTGCATGAAAGTTGCCAGGTCTCTGGCACTCATGAATGCGCGCATCAAAGGAATCAAGATGCCGTTTTTAATAGTCTCATAGCTGCCACCTGTCTGAGACGCACCGCTACGCCAGTGTAAGTTAATCTTTTGAAGTAACGCATCCAATAATTGAGTCGAGTTACTAAGTCCAGAATTTGGCAAGAATATGTCTGCACCAAGCTCGATCAATAAGGCGGTTAAGCTCCACTCAACCTGCGACAGTCCGTCTCTAAGCAGACCGGTGTAGGAAGCATGAGTGAGCAAAGTATGCAACGACAACTGCACTGTCCGGTCGAGGGCGACGCGAAAAAGCCGCTCCAAGACACCGACAAATTCGGGAAGGTAAGTAGTAGCGTTCTCAGCTTTCACAATAGAGAATGCTAGCTCGGCAATTGCAACGAACAGTGTCTCCAACCAAGGCGCATCGTGTGTTTGCCTTCGGAAGGTGTCCCTAGGAACCGATCGACAAGCAATATCGAAGAACTCGGGCAGAAGTTCTGCCGTCTTCCATAACGTTTTTTTTCTTGACGATGTCACCACTGGTATTCTGACTGGGGAGTTCAAGTTCACAAAGAATGGGTCTGAAGGTATCAGAAACGGGTTTCACAGCGCTCCAGTCCGGTTCGCTGGCCGAATAATCTATGCCTGACCCCCCTCTATCAAAAAAGGCGGTCCGCGCTGGAAGAACTACATGGAGGGCGATCAAACGCTCAACCCCATGCAGGACTTGAGCCCTTTCGTCAGTGTCAAGCTGAATGGATCTCACAGAGTGCTGCAACCTCAGAGCACTTTGGAAGCAATATTTGGCAAACGATTCCTAAGGCCGTTAGCGCATGGCATTCCTCCGACAATTAGTACGGCGTAAAACTTACATTGCTCGATCCACTGTCCGTGTCCACACGACGATTAGATCTCATATCCCACAGGTCCAGAATAGCTGGGAACACATATAGGAGGTGTTGCAGATCTGTCGTCTTCCGCGCGTTGGAAAACTGCGTGGAAGCTACAGCCGCGAGTCTGAACGACCTCCCTAATGTCACAGCAACCGTTTCAGGCTCACCCTTCAGCGCATGCTTCAAATGAGAACTGGCTACCTCATCATTCTCAAGCGTCCGACTTGCGAGCATCACCAAGCTGTACAAGCAATCCAAAGCACGAATGAAGGACAAAAAGCACGACGTAGGCGTCTGCGGCTGCTCATCAATATCCATTCCATCTTGTTCACTGTCGCCAGCTCTCTTTCGTTTGGTTCCTTTCTTATCACTTTGAGGCGGTGACTCGCTGAGAGTCTTACTAGACTCCGAGTCCGAGTGGCCCAACTCTGTCACTCCATTTTCAAGACCGGCAAATACATCATCCTCCAAGTCGGTAATCGCGTGGTCGAGGATCGCTAAGAATCTCTGGTCCTTGAGTGTTGTCGCTAATGTCTTTGGCTGAATAAGAGCAATAAGTTGTCGTAACAGGAGAAAAGACGCAGGCTCGACACGATAGTTCTTCCCCGCCCTCAACTTCTTTAATAACCATCGGAGAACCCATTCTTCCTTCGGAGCGGCGCGAGCTTGGACGTAGGTGGTTTTATTGATCTCCGGATGACTTGCGCATAGCGCCAGATCCAGTCCTATGATTTGAGCTGCCTCGTTGAGTTGACTGATTGGAGAACCCGAGCCTTTTTCGAGTCGGAGAAGAGCCTCTTGCGAGGAGCGCGGACGCTGTACAGAAGACAAGATCAACAGACATACTTTATACGAGAAACTCAAAATCCCGAGTAGTTAACTTACCTCCGCAAAAGAAGGCATCTCGAGAAGAGTGTGTCGAACTGCCCTCCCCTATCTTTCCTCTTGTTCTTTGTCAGTGCGGAGTTAACATTGCGTCCTGATACTACCCGACCAAAGAAAAAAAAGTAGTTCAAGCCCGTGACGACAGCCCAAAGCCGAGCCTAGTTTTTCCGACCGCCTTTGCCCGACAGAGCTCGAACATTGCACCCGATTTCATCACCTCCTCCTTGGCTTGATTATTCCGCAAATATTCCCTTAGACTCCCTCCTTTGTGTCCCTCGTCACAGTCAGTCCTGCTTCAATTTGCATCAATGTGTACCTCTGGCTAATCCTCGCTTTTCAGATCTATCGCAATGGCCGACTCCAACGAATCTCAGCCGATCGTCCGGGCCACCAAACCCGTCAGTGAGGCATTGCTCAATGAGAAGGTACTAATTGCCTACCGAATCTTCTATATTTCTCTTCTCGCCATATTCTTGTGCCAATGGCAACCCCTGGCCTGTTTGGCCGCCATCTCGGCTATCCCGGGGGTTCCAATGAACAAGAAGTATACAATCGCGCAGAATTGGGGCTAACACGGACTTTTCACAACTACAGTGGGATCGCGCCATTTCCTCCATGATCATTCGCTCCTCTCTCGGTCTCGGTTTCGGTGTTGTTTTCTCAGTGCTCCTCTTCAAGCGGAGGGCTTGGCCCGCTTGGGTTGGTCTGGGCTTTGGTGCTGGACGTGCTTGGGAAGAGGCCGACTGTGCGTTTCTGCCCCCTGCTACTGTCTTGTATAGAGGTATCGACCTTGGCTAACTTGAGATATAGCCTCGTTCCGCCGTGGCGACTCGCCCGTTAGAGACGCTCTGCGTCGGTAGAGGGTTCAGCATTTGATTGTGTATGATACCTGTATAGCCGAGGGAATAAAGTCAGATTGGGGCTTCATTCATGCTGTTTAGAAGAATGCCTAGGCTCTGTTTACCGTTTAGCATGCAATTCATCATTGTTGTATCCCGCCATTGTTCAGTTTGCGTCTTAAATTCACATCACCAGGCGTATAAAATAAACTGAATAGCTTACAAAGAATACGTCAGTGTAGCCTTAGTACCTTCAATCAGGACTACATGCAAAGGCTAGAGGTAGCTATGTAAACATGTGATGAAGCCAGTATACCCAAAACTGCATTGTTATATCAAGCTATTCCATGTACGGACGACACTATAGATTGCGAAAAATATGAGATCCATCACAAGAATATGCTCTAGGGAATTCAATAAAGGCAGTCGCAAGGAATGGGTCAATGACAAGAGAGTAAGAGGGGGGAGGGATGTACCGATGCATGCGTTGACTTCGCAGCCCAGAAGATTAAAAGAAAATAACTGTACACGAAGACTGGGAGCGAAAGAAATCTAATGTCCAGCATCTATTTAGGGGTATCATGATAAGCGGTCAGCCGAATATGAAACGCGGCACAAGAATAAATAAAGCAGAAACACCTGCGGCAAAGAGTAGTTTGAGATGGGGAAATTTTCACAGCATGGGGGATGTCGATGGAACGGTAATCTCGTCCAAAGCCTGTATCCCGGACACGCCGATTCCTGGGTTGTCCGACGACGTCACGGGGCCAATAGGAGACAGACTGCTGGCCTCGGTAGCAACAGGTTCAAGCGAAAGACCATTGTGTCCGCTGTGCGTGAGACAGCCTACGCAGCTACAATCATTTCCACACTGACAATTTCCCGTCACATCAGAACAACCAGATGGCAAGCCCACGGGATATTCAAGAGTGTAATACTCTGAAGGTTCCATAAAATGTTGCTCTGAGAGGTATTCCGCTGGTGGAGACGAATATCCATTCCCAAGTATGCGTGGGGTTGGGTTCTGTTCACCATAGGAATGCATCATAAGATTTTGTGTACCATTATTGAAGGCATGGCGGAAATTCGTATATGAATAATCCAGGTGTGTAGCACTATGCTGTCTGCCGTGTAAAGAGGGGGTCTGGTAACCGTTCATCTTTTCCACGCCCTTGTCCTCGCCGTCAAAGGCCACCAAAAGGCCCATTTCTTGAACATGCTGTCTCGTGGTGTTATTGAATGGATGAGAAGCACAGCCCAGGCATTGACAATTATCACCACAGCTGCAATTGTGGGTTGGATCGCTGTTGAGAGTTGCCGGTGCCATATAACCGGAATTAGTAGTATCATGTGGAAACGGTTGCGGAACGAAGGATTGGGTGAGACTACTGTTGGCAATGTTCTGATGGGGGTAGCTCATAGCAACAGCCTTGGGTGATGTATGTAACGCATAGTCGGGCACATATGCAGGTTGCCCAGTCGGTTGTTGGTGCGACACAAATGGTTGATAGTAGTGATTTTGTCCAGCTGCATTGAAGTCCTGCCACGAAGGAATCTGAGGTGTAGAAATGGGTGTAAATGAAGTCGCATTCAAAGAAGGCGTATAGGGGGCGCTCGATCCCTCGGTGGTATGTTCAGTGTCGTGGCCATTTTGAGTGGTACTTTCAGGCTTCTTACAACAAGAAGCTTGAGGCTTGGTTTGCACTGGTGCTTGAGCTTTTTGAGAGCAACAGCTTCCACCTGGCGGTCTCGAGTCGTCGCCATTGTTGAGGGTCTGACGAGGTATGAAAGTGCTAGGCGCACCACTGATACCCTGAGGCAAACTGTTTCCCATGGCTCCGAGCCCGGAATCTTGAGGAATGAAAGGGGAGATATGGCTCGAAGTGCCGGTTTCGTGATGTTGTTTTCCAAAGTCTGGTATAGAATCTAGGGCTTTCGCAATACTCTCGGGGGCAGTTTTGATTTGCCTTCTAGATGACTTCTGGATTTTACCAGGAGCGGGTGAAGCTGTAGGGGGAAGCGCAGTCGGAGTGGGTGGTGCGGACTCATTCGAGTCTACAGGCACTTGATATACCGGTCTACAGAGACACGTCGAGCCTTTATAGTAGTTAGCAACTGCTTGTTCTGTAAGGGGATGGGATACTCACCTTTTGGGATACGTATCATAAATGCATAAGTCTTTTGGCAGCTACATGTCCCTTTTGGATGGGGACATTTAGCAAGTGGACGTCCGGCCTTCGGCACCTTCATCATCAATCTGTCGAAATGTTGGCATTTTGAGGAACGATGGCCACGGATACATGGTTCGCTGGGTATTCAGTTAGTAACTTCGTGCTGGTGACCAATAAGTGGATTCCTACCACGACCACTTCGCGCCTTCTTCGTCCAAAGGCATTGTGTCAGTCAAGTCCCAAAATGACGCACTCAAGACAGTACCGATCCTCAAATATGCTTGAGGTCAAGTTGAACTATCGTTCTGTATCGACCTCGGCGCTATCGCAGATCCACCAGTAATCGCAAGCCACAGTGCAGATCAAATTCGACATTCATTAAAAAGGCGATTAAGTTTCCTCAGTTGAGTAGCCTTCCGCACAGGGATTGTACATAGGATCGGAACAAAGAAATCGATAAAGGTCCCATTCGACGGGGCGGTGGTGGTTCGATGAGAACAAGAAAATATTCGAGAGCGATGATAACAGATAAAGGGTGGCGCAGAAAGAAAGGATGAAGACTGAAGATCCAAAAATGGGAAATCCAAAAATAATTAGTAAACAGTGGCTAGACAACAGGTCCGACTCGACAACCCCGCCAGGGTGTGCTTTGAAGATGCGGGGGCTGTTCGGTGGCTGGCATCGGAGGAACATGCAAAATCCAACCTGAAACGAGTTCAAAGCGCGGCTCCGAGGTCTGCGGATCTCAGCCTGAGGCATCAATGTGTGCCTGGTGTGCCTGAAGCTTGGCAGCGCGGCAAATCGGAGTTTATCGTCAAATCATCCGGCAATAAGCAAGTACGCAGAGCTGGTCCAGTCGACTTATTTCACTTGCCTCGGTCTTTCCATTCGTTAACGTGTGACCATTTTATACATCTTCCTTGTTTAATAGCCCTTTGCTTGTTCTCTCCCTTCAATGACTCTAGAAGGCCGTGATACCTCCGGCCAGGCGCCGGGCAATGTAACTATTTCACGCGCCAGGGATTATTTCGCCGTTCCTGCTCCGATCAAGCGCATCTTTGATCAATTCCCTCTCGTCACTTATTCTCCCAATGACCTTCCTCAACGTGGTGCCTCGAACCGGACTGGAAATCGGTTATTTGTATTTACAGATGCAGCGGGTGCGAAAAGTCACAAACCCTCATTCAATCCGCAGTGTCTCAAATGGCAGGTACGTAAGGATAGCGGACTGAGCATGCTGTGTCTGATCGCCTCTGACCTGGATGTCTCTCCGCGCACAGGCATACTTAAGATTTGTCGGTATCGATTTTGATATTGTTCCTTCAAATAATCATGCATCACCAACCGGCGCTCTTCCCTTCCTCCTCCCGGCCCTTCCAGTCAACAACAACACCCCGATACCTTCCAGCAAACTACAAAAGTGGGCCATCGAACAAGTCCACTGCGAAGAGGAACAGCAATTGAACTTGCGGTTCGAGGTATATGCATCATTATTGGATCATCGGATACGGAATGCTTGGGTATGTTGATATGCAAACCACCCGACAGTGGTCTATCAGTGACGCTCACACGCAAACAGCTGTATACCCTATATCTAGACAATGAGAATTTTAGTGCCGTAGCCCGCAGGCTCTACGTGGATCCCTCGACTAAAAATTCGCTGGTACGCGCTACTTTAGCCGTTCAGCTTCAGCAGGCCGCAAGGGATGAGCTTCTGAAGACTTCCCAATATATTGATGTCAGCGCACTGGAAGCAGAGGCAGACGATGCGTTCGAGGCTCTCTCTACGCTTCTAGGCAGCAATGAACACTTCTTTGAACGATCTAGTCCAGGCTTGTTTGACGCCAGCGTCTTCGCTTATACGCACTTGATTTTAGATAAGGGAATGGGATGGAAGCGGAATAGGCTGGCAGAGCTGCTGCAAAAGCATGAAAATCTTGTGCAGCATCGGGAAAGGTTGCTAAAATACTTTTAGACATTGGATATCCAAACGAATTATTCCTGTATAATACTGCTAGCCCAGTTGTCTTTCAATCCTCAGGGCGAGAACAGGGGCAAGCCTCAGAACCAGTAGCGCTTCATCACGACCGCTTTCTAAAGCAAATTCCAAACCACACCATGACACCAATCCACTTATTCGCTCTCTTACCCAAATCTTTTACCATCATCTCATTCACCTTTCTCTCGCGGACACGCTCCCCGCCCAACTCTTCAACCTCGAATCCCGCCTTCTCAGCAGCATCTAACACATCCTCAATCGTGTGAGAATAACTAGTTGGTCGAATCTTCGTCCCAGTCGCCGTATCCACAAATCCCGCCTGGCTAATCGACCCCATCTCAGAATGCATATTGGTCAAAAGAAAATACCCCCCAGGTCTCATCACCGCTGCGGCGCCCTCGAAGAATTGGTCCACGGGGATATGTTCCAATACCAGCGTAGAAATCATGCCAGCCGCGCCCAGACTACACTTCGGCGGTGCCGGAGGTGACTGAAGCAGATCATAAATCTCCAATGAAACCCTATTAGCAAGAGAAGGATCCGATTGTTCCTCCTTGTCGATATAAGTCCGAGCAACATTCAGCATCCCCGGCGAAGCATCCAGCCCGACGATATGAGCATCTTGGGGTGCGAATTTCAGTAGCTGGCGAGTATTCCGGCCTGTGCCACAGCCCAAATCGACAAGTTTTCCCGGGCCGGTCTGTGTGCTGGCGGTTACTTTGTTCAAGAGTTGGGGTAGCAGTTGTTGCATTTCGATGGTGTCGAGGGCTTGTAGGAAGTTGCCGTCTGTGTCATAGACCTGTATTTTTGGTTAGAATTGTTTTCAATATTTCTGATTTCGCTTTTGCCTCGGAAGGAAATATATACGCCGTAGGCTTGCTTACCTCCGCCCATTTGTTGTATGCCTCGACAGTTTCCACATACTGTACTGGCTTCTGGGAGCTTGCTGTATCGCTAGGGGACCCCGAGGCAAGGGTCTCTTGTATAGTGCGAGCCATTGTGGCAGTTTGCGGGACGTGAAGAATTTTTTGAATAGGTAACCTCTTTCCTTGCTTTTGCTTCTCTTTCTCTGCATCGGCGGGTAGCATTGCCGCGGGAATGTTTCTCAATCAACGAAGTCGCAATTGCAAAAGAACAACCGATGCAGGATTATCGATCGAAGGTGCCTAGGTAATTATAGTCTTTTGAATGATATAAATACTATATTTAATGATAATTCTATGTGTAATGATGGTTGTTATTATACGAGGAGATGAGTCATATTAATTGGTACCGAGGTGGTTGCAAATTTTTATATAATTTGTTCCCAGATCACCCCTACAATCTTAATCATCACCACCGCTTTGATCTCAAACTGCGTAAGACCCGAGGTGTCAATGCTACGCTTTCTATGACATGGATTTGGAGTGATTATGGTGATATCTGATTTTCGGCTTGATATGATCATTCAAAAGTAGTCATTGCTCTTAAAGTCCGCCCAGAAACATGATACATGCTGCATCGAAATGACCCATAAGTCGTAGAGAAAAAAAGAAAGGAAAGGTTGATATGACGGAACAAGCAGGGAAAAGAGAATTCATCCGCATTCTCGAGCCAGACGCCGTGCCAGACGGGGCGAGAATGGTAAATCAGAGAGAGGGTCATAAAGACAGGAAAAGGGATGGAGATTGAATGGAAGGAGAGAAGGAAAGAGGGCGAAGAAGAAAGAAGGAAAGGATAATTCAGCGCGAGGAATTATGCAAAACACAGAGACCAGCCAACAATACCATTCCATGCACGCTCCATTGCTCCATGAAAAGGAAAGAAGAAGAAAAAAGAAAGAAAGAAGAAAAGGAAAAAAAGGAAGCTCAGGCTGCCGCCCATGCTAGTAAACTGTTGCCCCAAAAGGCGCCGTTTCTTTTAGATCCTCAACTAGATCCTCCACATTGTTGAGATACCTTCCGAGCAGTGCTTGCTTTTCATCCGTTGTGCGCGTGTCTCTATTTCCCCTTCCGCCATGGTGGGCTCCTGGGCCATTGGCACTCCTTGGCCTTGGCCCCCCTAACTTGGTTGGACTGCGCTGCAATCCGATAGCCGCTGCGTTCGCCGCACTGGCGCCTGCGCCTGCAGGGATCATTGGTGTTTCTGGCATTAGGTAGAAGTAGAGGAACTCGACGAGTTTGAGTTTGACTTCGCGAGATGTTGCGCGCTGCTTGAAGAGAGATGTCACGGTGAGCAGCCCGTCGAGCTCTTCAAACGTGCGCGTGTTGGCGGGATGGTCCAAAAGAGCCGTTACAAGAGTGAGGAGGGTAGCAGACTGAATTGCGGGGCAGTTGATCGGGTCCAGAAGATCCAACAGTATGTTCATGTAAATTTCGCGCGCGAACAATGTTCGCGATGGTGGGTGGAGAAGAAGCGCGCCTTGTATTAAGTCGAGTGTTGAGAGTATAAGAAGGTCGTTTGTGCCATTACTTCCTCGACCAAGGAGGTGCTCAAGGCAAGTTACCAAGCGCATTGCGACTGGGAGGAGCTTGTCAGTCTATCGGATACCCGGTAATATATGGAATCGGACCAGACGGCGCGTACCATTCCACTGGAACCCTTCTTGAAGCTTGAAAAACTCTCTAAATGCGGGGTCATCTTTTAGTTCGGACAGAGCCCTGGGAACCGGTTGTGGAGCTCCAAAGGATAGTAATGACCTCCGTTTATCAGACGCCGGCTGTTTCGACTTGGATAAACAGATTTGCGCAAGAAGGCCCTCAACCTGGCGCAATCCTTTGCGAACTTTGCTTGGTTCGTACGAAGAAAGGTAGTCGAACGAATGCGCCAACAAAGTCTCCATGAGTACGTAACGCGACTGGAAAATCCAAAGGATGGCTGCTGACGAAAAAAACAGAACGCGAAGCAAGACAAACCCGGGAACAAAAGTCTTTTTTTAACTCGGCGACGCTTTCGGCGACAAGACGCGACACCGAGGCTTATCTATATGAAAGTAGGACAGGAAAAAAATAGAACAAGATCCGGCTAGTCCAGACGCCAGGTACCTTAATTTAATTCAATTATTGGTGATAAATAGCTTGGTCGAGGGACAAATTAGTTCGACAACACCACCCTCTGATCGTGGCGAGATCCTCACTAGGCAGATTTAGTGAGAGGGAACCCCACAGACAGGCAAACACGCCGATGGTTGCCCCGGGAGACGGCCGGCCATGTCCAATTGGGACGCAACTCCCTCCAGCGCTTCGCAGGCCATTGGACAGTTAGGCGCTGAGCTGTCACTGTGATGATGACAAGTTCAGCTGCGCCATCTTGCCAGCTCATCCTGGCAGGACCAACTATCAAAGGGTCCTGGCGATGTCGTGTTTTGTCGTGCCTTGGAGCTTGAGGCGCTCTTCCGTTGTTAGTAGGAAGTAGAATTTGCTCGGACTTGGCCGATCATTGTTCGAATTCTTGTTCCCCTGGTCCTTTGGGTTGTCCAGTCGACTATCCCTTGTGAAGGGCAACATACTCCTTGCAGCCTGGGGTGCATGATCCATGGGAATGGCATCTTTGAGGTATGCCCCTGGTAACTCAAATGGAAAGCATCTCGGGGTGCCTGGATCACGGATCATGTCACGTGACCGAGACGATCCCGGGCACAATACGAATCACATGAATCGACGTCACATTGTCCAGGCCGCCTAATTGGGTTGTTCCCCGCATACAACAAAGGTTTCCTGCATTCACCCTTTTCATATTGTGCGGCACAGGTCAAAGAGTTTACCTCTATCACGGGGCTTTTGGCAGTTCGCCAGGTCAGTTTAAATAACTGGCTTATGTGCCATCTGTTCATTCCTCAGGGTATCACCAACCCGAAACTTGATGGGGAAGCAAATCAAGGAACCATGTCGTCGGAAACTTCTTCCATTCAGCCCCCCACTGCCATTCCCCCTCGAACTAGCTCTGCGGGTGCCACAGACGGAGCTAGTACAAACTCATCCGTGACAGGACAATCCAGCCTCGCCGCTATTCCTGAATCAAATGGCGATCAACTACAGACGAACACCAACATCCGGCGCAAACACACTCGTAACCGGTCCAGTCTAGATGGCACAAAATATAAAGATGGCCAGTGGTCGCCGGAGAATGAGGTGATCGTGCTGGGTCCCTATGATTATATGCTGCAGCATCCTGGCAAGGATATACGGCGGCAGCTTATCAACGCATTTAATGAATGGTTGAGAGTCCCCACGGGGAGTTTGTCTATCATCACCAAGGTGGTAGCTATGCTTCACACAGCATCACTATTGTAGGTGTATCTTCATAACACTCGCCCCGGCTGGGCCCACTCTAATTGTCATTCTCTCTTTGTAGGATCGATGATGTCGAAGATTGTTCCATTCTCCGTCGCGGAGTTCCCGTGGCTCATAATATTTACGGAACAGCTCAGACCATCAATTCCGCGAATTACGTTTACTTCCTGGCCCTCCAAGAGGTTCAAAAGCTGAACAATCCTGCTGCAATTGATATTTACGTTCAAGAGTTACTGAACCTCCATCGTGGTCAAGGGATGGACCTGTTCTGGCGAGATACCCTCACCTGCCCCAGCGAAGAGGAATACCTCGAGATGGTTGGAAACAAGACCGGTGGGTTGTTCCGATTAGCTATAAAGTTAATGCAGGCTGAGAGCAACACGGGCAAGGACTGCGTGAGCCTGGTTAATGTGTTGGGGCTGATCTTCCAAATCTGTGATGATTACCTCAACCTATCCAATACAACCTACACTAAGAACAAAGGTCTCTGCGAGGACCTCACGGAGGGAAAATTTTCATTTCCCATCATTCACAGCATTCGATCCGATCCCAGTAATCACCAGCTCATCAATATCTTGAAGCAGAAAACTAAGGATGAGGAGGTCAAATTATACGCAGTCAAATACATGGAGAGCACGGGCAGCTTTGCGCACACTCAGGATGTTGTCCGGGATTTACGTGATAAAGCCTTGACACTTATTGCCGAGATAGAGACAACTGAGAATGGCAAGGAACCCGAAGGTAACGGCAATAGAGTGACGATACGTGCCATTCTTGATAAGATAACCGAGTCAACTCTTAAAGACGCTCGAAAGGCAGATGTATAACCTGGTCTTATTGTGGTTTTTCTTTTCCCGCCGTTCTCGTCCATGTTTCAATAGCGTGTTAAGCTTGGGTGGCTTTTGTGCACTTGGAAAGATTGGACAACGCATCGATGATGAAGATGCATATGCGGATAAGTTCGGCTGTGTCTGCCCGATCGGTTTATGTCACTATTTAGCATAGTCGATTTTATCGCATTTGATGAAGACAAATGGTACAAATAAGATTTGATAAACTTGGTTGGTAAAGCGAGAATCTAAACACTCTGGGTATATTAATCCAAGCTCTCATGTAAATATCCCAGTCGTAAGCCAGGTTTTTTTGCCCCCTGCAACGATTATATATCCGTAACATAATATCGAAGGTTGTCTGATCCTTCGTCGCATTGTGACCGTGAACATAAGTGTTGACCAATCCCATAATACTTACATAACCACACAGCAAGCTTTCTCCAGCTTGCGCAACACACGTGGGAGAATTGCGTTGACCATCTCCTCGACGGGGTCCTGCTGGTGTTGTTGTTGTTGCTGTTGTGGCTGCTGGTGATGCTGTTGACCGGGATACTGGCCATGCGACTGGCCATAACCAGAGTGTGCCGGAACTTCAGACATATCGGCCGGTCCACCAGTGAGATTGACATAAATGCGTCCCGCATTCTCTTCCGTCGCATACTGGAGACCCAGTTCGCGACAGACTTGCTCAACACGAGGTTTGATCTTCTGAACGTGGTTGGCAGAGTGATTACCTTTGCCGACGATGCTGAGTCAAACCAGTTAACACCGCGCGCAAAAAAAAGCCGACAATTAACCTGACAACTTACACATGCAGATGGTTCTGGCCATGATCTCTAGCATATTTAATACGCTCTTCAAGAATCTCCTCCGCCTCCTCTACGAATTGGCCGTGTAGATCGATGGTATCGGGATCCACGCGCCCTTCGGCGTTGTTCTCGCGAAAGATGAATTCGGAGGCCTGCTTGTTGTACTCCTCCATCTTGCGACCGTGGGATTTACCCTGCTCGGACAACTCCTTGGCCATTGCGCCATCACCTTCGGAGTACGCTTCTTGAGACTATTGTTCCGACAACGTCGTTGAGAGAATTAGTCGCATTGGCTCGGGTCAGGTCAGGGCCTTGGAGGGAAAAATGCGATGCGCACACACCCGTTGAAAGCAAGAGTTGCGCTTCTGGGCCTCTTCACGGGCTAGGCCACGGAGGCGATCGTATTCGGCTTCTGCATCGCTGCTTTGTTCGTGGTTGAAGGCTGTTGGTGTTGCAAGATTGTTAGCTAGGTATTGGTGGTTTTGGCGATGGTCCTTGAGAAAAGGGTCTCACCCCGAGGGCCCATATGGGACATTTCGTGCATTTTGGCGGCGGGGCGAATTGCTATAAAAATAGTCTATAATATAGTAGTAATATGAATAGATCTATGAAACCAAAAATCTAAATGTAATGCTCAAGTGGGTAATTGTACGAGAGATCTTAAGACAAGAGGAGAAGAAAGATCGGATCGGGGATCGAAGGCGGTAGCCCTAAAATCCACGGGCGGACCGCAAACCATAGTATGCACGGTGGACCTTAACCGCGATCGGTTGGCTCAACTGTATCCAGGGATCAAGGGCAGGCTGTGCAGGCGATTGGATAGTATTCGAGGGTATACACAATCTGAGATTACAAGAACCATTGGACGGATTGGCACAATTATGGGTCGTGTCCCAAATTGTTCGATCACATTTCTGCTCTTCATGGATTAAGTAATATGGCTGATTGACTCGGGACCAAATATAATGTATTCCAGAGTAGTACTATGCCAAGTCGCCTAAGTCACGGGGATGCTCTGTTATTGATGATTCATAGTATTAGTACGTGGTGGGTAACTTGTCGCGTACCTGTCTTTGGGGTTTTGTTTGCTTTTCAATGTGGATATTCAGGGCTTAGGGTCTAGCAAATCTCGAACCAAGCCAGTTCCTGGCGTCGATACCTTGAGAGCCTCTTGGACCAATGTATGTAGTACCAAGTGCATTCCGGTCCCTTGGATCCCATGGTCAACCCCATCCATTATTGGTATTCTCTTCAGTGCTCATACTCCGTATGCACCCCATGGCTACTCCCCATCTGGAAGGCAGTAGTAAGTATGGTTTAGTGCCTGAAGTCCGGCCTCAATAGTCTTGCTTAGGACCCATAGTTTTCACGATATCGCACCTTGTCCAGGAACGTGATTGCACAAAGCATTTGCATAGTGTGTGGTAAGGAAGTTAACTAGAAGCACTAGACAGTGGAGCACAAGGATTAGTCATACTGCGGAGCCATGGATGGATGGCGCCACAGCAGGCTTTTGCATCGCATGAAGCGTGATACGAAGGTACTATTGCAAGGTTGTTTTTATCAGGCTGTGAGACAGGGAGATAAAATGTGAAACGCAGATGATACACTTCAGACTCTTCGGTACGGAAGGAAGGACTGATGACCGAGTAACGCTCATGAGCAAAAGGATTACGCGACTGCTTGTTGACGATTTTCCCTTCAGAGTTGTGCGGAGATGGAAGATCAACGGCAGTTGAAAGTGGAGTTTACAATACAATACTAAGGCTGTATGATATACATATTTTATATGCTGTAAGAACTTCGGCCCCAATTGCTTTCTTACAGTAGCAGAATCTCCACACGGCCTTTTCAGATGATAGAGTATTTGTCGGTTTAACCGATAGAGTAGAGGAAACAGCCGCAGTACAAGAAATTCAACCTAGAAGAGAAGAAAACCAAGGTTCCGGGAACGTGGAAGTAAAACATCTAGTTTCAAAGTTGGGACTTTTGCACACTACTATAGGAATCCATAAGTTGTGCCTGGCGATCTGAGGCCATTCCATGGTGTCAGATCTCCACCAGTGGCGGCACTTCAAAACTGAAAATGCCCACCATGTATGTCATCCGAAAATTCAATGGACGTTGGCAGTTTGGCGCAGCGTCTTTTGAGAGGTCGGATGTATTCAAGACCATTCCCCCCCCCCCTAAAAACCTTCTTTAATTACGTCTCCTAGGATCTGTGTCGCTAGTATAAACTCGTATACTTATTGAAATACGCGAATGAGTTACTTAGAGTAGTTCGGGACAATGCTTATGCCTACCCTTATGTCATACAGTCGGACATTGTATAGATCTGCATGGCCCGGAAATTAAGTCATTCCAGTTAGAGTAACGATCAGGAGACCTCTGACGAGGTACTAGACCGGACACGGCAAGGCCTCAGGGCCTCAGCGTCAGAGTCCTGTGTTTTGCCTTGCAATGGGGGCGGTATTCCTGGCAACGCTAGTACTGGGTTCTGCATCAGGCCCAGCGTCTGAGATGTCAGCTTACGGAAGAAGTTGAAGAAATGTATATTTATAAACTGAAATCCGATACACAAAAACCAGGATGCTCTGATCGTAGAAGAGCCTTGAGCCACTCGTTTAAAAGGGGGATGGTCGATTAAGTGCAATGATTGGCTAGATGAATCTAGGAGATCCACTCTCTTTTGTGACCCTTCCAGCGAATGAGAAAAATGCAATCGCATAGCTTTACCTGTTACCAAACCAAACCCCCCACTTTCCCCCTATTGCTGCTCCAGTCGTATACCACCTGCTAGCGTTCCAGAAGGAAAAGGAAAAACCGAAATTCAATTTTTTCTTTTTTTTTTTCCTTTTCCTTCATTCCCTTCTCCGGCAAAGCTGGCCAGTACAGCCAGTAAGTACTCCCGTAAGTCCAAGTCGGGCCCCATCCCATTTCCCACACCCTCCTTTTTGGGACTCTCAACTCGCTCGCCTCTTTCTCTCTTGCTCGTTTCTCCGACGCCCCCTCCAAAGTCTCTCCCCAAAGCCCCCTTACCTGAGCTTATCCTCGCCCATCTTTCTCAGCCTCTCTCTTCCTTCTATTCCTCTTTCTTCGATCAATCACTCTATCGGTTCCAGCCGGGTGGTGAAGGATTTACTCCCCTTCCATAGTCTTTTAATCTTCGTGGTCGCTGCTTTTCGTCCATTCTGCACGCCTTCTGCACGCCGTAATTCTTGTGTTCGTCAGCATCGGGGTAACATTTTGTTTCACTTTCCTTTTGACCTCCTTTCCACCCCGTCTCAAGACCACGCTCCAATTATCGAATTTTTCTCCCCCTTACTCCCGTTCATTTATGGTCACTCGTACTTTCAATAGTACCACCCGGAATTATATCCCAATCTTTTAATTTTTTTTTTCTCGAGTGTGTGTGATAAAAAAAATATCATCTCGATTTTGGAGGGAGAATTTTTGATCGGTGAGTAGCCTCGTCATCTTCAGCCCTCAACGAACCTACTTGATTCTCCTCACTGTATTAGCTGGTGATATCGATGTATCAACCGCTACTCCTTACGTCAATACAATAGCTGGCTCTGTGTTTCTTTTTGATTTTTTTACGCGATAGTTTTTCGTCAAGTTTGGATCACCTCGTGTTGGTGCACGTTTGGAATTATCAGCCGTTTGGTTTCGAAACGTGGAAAGTGCGGCCTTTCGCTGACGCCTATTCCTTAAATAGATTCCTTCATATACAATACCACGCCGGCCACCACATCTCTCTTTGGACAAACCTTTGAACATCACCAGTCACCTTAATTAAACACCGCCAACATGGGTTGCGGAATGAGTACAGAGGATAAGGAGGGGAAGGCCCGTAACGAGGAGATCGAAAACCAGCTTAAACGCGACAAGATGATGCAGCGCAACGAAATCAAGATGCTTTTGCTCGGTATGCAACCGATCCCACCTGAACAATCATAATCGTATGTTAGGCGCTTTGTTGACCATTTCTCTGCAGGAGCGGGAGAGTCGGGCAAGTCGACAATTCTCAAGCAGATGAAACTGATCCATGAGGGCGGATACTCGCGCGACGAAAGAGAGTCTTTCAAGGAAATCATCTACAGTAACACGGTCCAGTCGATGCGAGTCATTTTGGAAGCGATGGAATCTTTGGAATTGCCCCTCGAGGATGCCCGTCACGAGTACCACGTTCAAACTATCTTCATGCAGCCCGCTCAAATCGAAGGTGACAACCTTCCTCCGGAGGTCGGAAATGCGATTGGAGCTCTGTGGCGCGACAGCGGTGTGCAGGAGTGTTTCAAGAGGTCTCGTGAATACCAACTGAACGACTCTGCGAAATAGTGAGTACTTTCCGATGCAGTTGATCAAATGCCCGTAGCATGCTAATCGATCCCCTCAGCTACTTTGACGCCATTGAACGCATTGCTCAGTCCGATTATCTTCCTACGGACCAGGATGTACTCCGCTCCCGTGTCAAGACTACCGGTATTACCGAGACCACCTTCATCATTGGCGATCTGACATACCGGATGTTCGACGTCGGTGGTCAACGTTCCGAACGGAAGAAGTGGATCCACTGTTTCGAGAATGTCACCACGATCCTCTTCTTGGTCGCCATCTCCGAGTACGATCAGCTGTTGTTCGAAGATGAGACCGTCAACCGTATGCAGGAAGCCCTTACTTTGTTCGATTCCATCTGCAACTCCCGGTGGTTCGTCAAGACATCCATCATTCTCTTCCTCAACAAGATCGATCGTTTCAAGGAGAAGCTGCCCGTCAGCCCCATGAAGAACTACTTCCCTGACTATGAGGGTGGTGCTGATTATGCCGCTGCTTGTGACTACATCCTCAACCGCTTCGTGTCCCTCAACCAAGCCGAGCAGAAGCAGATTTACACGCACTTTACGTGTGCCACTGACACTACACAGATTCGGTTCGTCATGGCTGCAGTAAATGGTGAGTTGCCGCATATTATCCATCTGCTTATGCTTTACTAACGATTGGTTTTAGACATCATCATCCAAGAGAACCTCCGACTCTGTGGTCTGATCTAATGAGTAGGGTGCTTTGATCGAGTGCCTGTTTGAATATCCGACATTTAGACCGTATGCTATGCGACTTATAATTTCCCTTCCTCTCTCTTTTCATCTTTTCCTTTTGATGTGTTCGTCATACCTTGTGATTTCTGAAAGAACCTGGCGTTGAAGACATTCACTTGTCTATTCTTAATTTCCTTTTTCTTTTTTCCCCTCTTCTGTATTGAAATGATATCTAGCCAGCTCTTTGTTATCCGCATCACCGATATCCATCCCATGACACAGAGCCGCAGTTCATTGTTCTCACTCTTCCATGAGGGCGGGTTGAACATTGAGCAATTTATGCCTTTTCTTATTGATCTTTTCCCTTGTCTCCTTTTCTTTTCCAGCATTTTCATTTAATTTTGTGCCTGGTTACCCTATCCCTCATTCAATTTCCTCTTTAGTTTACGTTTTGGTTTTGAACGCTGGATATCCCATCATCTCTTGGTGCCCTCGTGTGTACTTATATCACTCATCTTTCCTGTCTCACGTCCGCTGGAGCAATGAGCGACGACAGGGCCACGGGCACGGGGAATGGCAGGGTACGTGGACTATCATGTCTTTTTCTCATGTGTCATGCCGGGTCGGTCATTGGATCATAGTCAGAACTAAGGATTGTGAAAATATTGTTTGTATTATTTTACCTGTAGGTTGTAAATAAAACGAGTTTGGACATAAGAATCAAACCCTAGCGTTTGTACATAGATATCACGTCACTGAGAAAGTTGATATTCAGCTATGCTGATGTCCATCCAAACACCAGTACTCCATGCATAAACGCTCTATAAACACAAGATAGCTATCAGAACCGCAATTTCGGGCCGATGAATACAATCAACACCGCAACGATCCATAACCCAAAGATCCAAGCATAGAGCATCATCCGTCCCCACCAACCCTTCCCTTCGGTCATGCGACGCAACATACCCATTCGTCGTTCTGCTGCCTCCATATTGCCTGTCGTGCGGTCCAGACCCTCGACGGCACGGGCCAGTACGGACTTTTCTGATTCCAGAGAGGATTGAAAGGCTTGCGACGAGGACTTGAGCTGCGTCGCAAGGGACAGAAGAGAGTTAGTGATGTCTTCTTGTTCGCGACGGTGTGTGTCGAGTGTTTCTTCGGTGGATTGTATTTTGGCAGTTGAGGAAGAAGATGGTTGTGCAGAGATGTTGTGTTCGTGTAAAGAAGAACCTGTTGCTTTGGCTGGAAAGTCCGTCGGGCCATTATGTCGGTTTCGTAAGGTAGACGTTGGCGTAGGCGAAACTGTAGTAGCGGTAGCTGTAGGGTCCGCTGTCGCCGTCGTTGCCGTTGTCTCATGCGACAAGGACTCGGAGCTCTGCCCAGGGATCGTCTTTGTTTCCTCCTGCGCGGCGATCTCAACTCCCTCTGTCTCATCTCCTAATGTGCCTATCTCCCGTCCTTCGTCAGGTGTATTCCCCTCCTCCGGTGTCCCGAGCAAATCCTCCCCGTCCACTGACTCCTCGTCCTCATCCTCGTAAATTCCCTCCACATCGGGCAGCCGCTGCCCATCTTTTGCGGAGAACTTTATCTCCGCTTCAGCGTTTAGGTGGTCTAGTACACTCTGTAACCGTTTCAGGGTCTGGCGGTCCCGGGTAATATCCGATTGAATTTCATGACGACGGTCGACTGGTTTAATCTGCAGGAGACTCCGTTGTAATTCTTGGAGCGTAGCACGGGCATATTCTATATTCTAGTTTTGGGCTTGGTTAGCACGAGCCTTGCCAGAAGCCCAGAGTCAAGCTCCAGCCACAAGCTAGCTAGCAAAGCCGACACGGAGTTTTCCAAAGAGAAGCCGCAAAGTAAGATAAAGGAAACGTAGAACGCACAGCTCCCACTCTCATACGCTGATACTCCGACCGACGAAGCGGCTTCAAGTCCGCGGAGGACGAGAGCAGATTATGTTCAAGACGGGCGAGCAGTCGAGATAGAGATAGATTGGTGAGATTTGGGTCGGAGGTGAAGGCCCCGGGGTATGTTGTTATTGTCATTTTTGTTGTATGGTTTCTGTCTTTTGCTGCGCCCGGTGTTTTCGCTTCTTTTTTCTCGTTTCCTTCTCGGTCTGTTTCCTTTTTCTCTTGCATTTTTTTTCCCTTCCTCTTCGCCGCGCTTGAAGGTGGGGTTCGAGTGAGGGGAGTTGGGCTGCGATTTCTTGTTGGTTTGTACTTTGGGGAACTACTAGTATCGCAGATGTGCTATCGAGCAATCATGGCCGTTTATTGGAGATGACTAAGCTCCATATGTATGGGGCATGTGACTTCGTCATCGCTATTGGGGGTTCATACTTGTTCTTTTGAATGGAAAAGTTATCTACGATAGGTCCTTCGCTGATTAGGGGTTAAGAGGGTTGTTGTCCATACGTGTTGGAAACAGTTAAGTTTAGATTTCATGAATTCAGCATCGTTAACTCGTCATCAGTCATCAACAGAAGTAAAAAAAAAAAATAATTCTGTATGTAAACAAGTCCGCCACCCATTAGGCACCATTTTTTATCTAAAGACAAAAAAACATGCGCCTCAATGACCTGGAATTCCAATGGAATGCAAGGGAAAAAATATAAGAAAAAAAATAAAGTACCCGAACTAAGCAGTGGAAGGGGAAGTCAAGAAGAAACAAAGACCAATGGACGCAATCAATTAGTTGTACTGGAGCATGGTCCGTTTATACGTGCGAACGCCTCCTTCATCCACGTCGTAGAGGTGATGGACAACCTGGTTGCGCTTCAGGACAGAACATGTCCGTTCTGGGGCCGCCATCCCGGAAAATTCTTGCACGTCGAGCGTCTGTGACCCAACCGGTCGATCGGCGGTCTCAATGCAAGATCCAAGAGATCCAGATCGCAAAAGCCTGTTGCTGCGCCCAGCGGTGGATGACCGACTATCTCCCGAGCTGGGGCTCAGCTCGGATGGGGCAACAGCGTAAGGAGCCTGAATCTGCTGATATGATTGCGCGGTGCTGACACTCCGTTCCCGGCCTAGAACAGCAGCAAGATAACCACTCGAGGGTAGATGTGTCGAACGGGACAGGGGCAGCAGAATATCACAGGCTGAAGGGAGTCCGGCGACACCGTAGGTCGACGGGTCTGCTGGATAGTAGGGCACTCCGTGGCCCACTAGGCCAGCTAGTTCCTCGTCGCCACCACGCCTTTCTTTTTCGCCAAAAGAAAAGCGTCGCGGATCCATTTGCCTCTCTAGCGGTGCGTATCTGCCCAGATGTCGTCGTCTGATACGTTGAACGAGGAGGAGGACGCACAGTATGCAGACGACGGTAAAGGAGATCCAGAACGAAAGAACCTGGGTGCTCTTCAAAGCGTCGTGATCCTTCTCATGGCCCATTGCCTGTGTCTCTTGGTCTCCTTGCTCTAAGGAGAGTCTCGGCAGTTTTTCTTGGGAACGTTAACGGCGTGTAGATCCCTGATTCCTCAACAGTCTGTTTGTCCAGTACTGGAGATGGCCGTATGAGGTGTTCTATACTCAAATAGGCAATAGGTTTGGTTTTTAAGTATGCTCGGTTGACGGGTAGAACCAGACGAGGGTTAAATAGCTGGAAGAAAGAAGCGAACTGAGATAGAAGTAGAGATGATATTAAGCTTATTCTCTTGCGAATAGGAGCTATGAGCGGTATACAGGGATCTTTATAATCTGGGCCATGGCCACCAGAGGTACTTGAATCGAAAAGAAATAATACTCCGTCTCAGATTGACCCAGTGAGGGAATTGCTACTTTCTAAAAGTATTCCAATAAAATGACAGACTCCACCATGCAGGCACGTATATCCAACCCTGCGTCATGCAGCCATTCTTGAAGCACAATTCGGTACGAGGGGGCTTCCAGTCCAGTCAGCCACGCGAGGTTGAGCGGTGGGCAAGACCCATGCAAAACGGAGCCAACCGCAATTGTACGACGACGAGAGGGCCAGACGAGACCCAAGAATGCGGCAAGAAGGCCAACAGGTAACCTGAGTTCAGCTGCCCTGAAAGAGCGCCACCTGCGCAGTTTGCCGGCTCAAGAGAGGAGCTTCTCCCGCTAGTTCGTTAGGCGGACTTAGCGAGGGGCACCGGTCCCCAGGAGTGAGAATAAGGCTGGCTACCGGCACTAAACATTTGCGGCTCGGTCTGCGGTCGAGCGTAAGACAGGAAGGAGGAAGTGGAGAGAGAAAGTCTCTCCATCAAATGCATGTCTCTGCTCATGATTGTCAAGGTCCAGATCCATTGCAGTTTTGAAGCGCCAGCCGTCATGGACTGTTCCCCATTCGGAAAGGTGCCCTTACCCTCGTGACCCCCCATTTAGATTCGTCCTTCTCAATAAGATACATGGAATATTGATGTAATTTGAGAATATTAATGGAAAGTATCCACCATCGTTATTCTCTTACATTATTACATATTCTTTCTCAGCTCAGCCCATCATCCGATCGTCTGCTTCGTGCAGATCCATCTTGGTTCGCATAAAGCCAGCGTAATGACCAAAGTTTCGCATCAGGTAGCCATGGCATGACGGGTCAATCCTTTTGCTTTTGCTGGAGGTGTGGCTTCTGGTGAGATGATACCCCCCCCCCCCCCCCCCCCCTTGAAACTTTCCCTTCTCACGAATATCTTGTTTTGTTTTTTTTTCTTCCTCGGCAAGAACTCTAGATCAGATTGCGTCTGTGCTGGTGCCCACTGGGTCATGTCTTTCACTCCTGCACTACTGGACACTACTAACGCACTAATATCTTAGATCTGCTCTTGGCACAGGGAAAAAGAGCCGAATGCGTTCAGTGTGGCGGTAAACAGAGTGATCGACTGTGGCGCCGACCTCCTTTCGTGGCCTTTTGACAGCAGGAAAATTTAAGAGGAACAGACTACGCGAACCTTGATCCACTCAGATTCGTCTATCAAGTATGTCATTTCAATATTCCTCGCCCGTTCGACCCAACAACCAGGTCCCTTCAATGCATGCTAAAATCGGCTGCCCCACCAATCAGGTCACCGAAGCTTAGATTTACATTAGACTGGGCCTGTCGCTCCGCAGACGAGGAAAAAAATTGGAGAGGTGAGAGGCAAAATACAGAGTGTGACCTATAGCTTCGCGGTGATACTCGGTTTTGAGGCCACCTCCTCTCTAGCGCGGTCTCGAAGGACCTTTCGCAGGATCTTGCCGGAAGGGTTCTTAGGAATCGCCTCAACGAAGATTACCCCGCCAGTGATCCTCTTGATCGCGGAGACTTTCCCATCCATGAATGCGATAAGATCCTGTGCGGAGGCGCTCTGTCCAGGGTTTAGCACTACATATGCCCGAGGGCGCTCGTCATCGTTCCTATTCGTTGACAGTCAGTCTATCAGCTGCTCCTGGTTGTTCATCAATCTCCGGAGAGGCGAATATAATACTTACACCGAGACTCCAATGACCGCAACGTCAGCTACTGCCGGGTGCTCCAGCAAGAGGGCCTCTAACTCTGCCGGTGCAACTTGGTTGCCTTTCACTTTGATCAGTTCCTAGGACAGAATTTGTCAGTTAACGCGCCTGCATAACTAAGTTCTAAAGGGATGTATGCAAGGCTATTTTTTTTCGCCATATGTGGCAACTGAACTATTTGTCATACGACGTACCTTCTTTCGGTCCACTACGTAGAACTTCCCCTGATCGTCCACATATGCGATATCTCCGGTCTTCAGCCATCCGTCCTCCGTCTTGGTTTCCTTTGTGGCCTGTGGATTTCGCCAATAGCCCTTCATAATGTTCGGACCTCGGACCCAGAGTTCACCCCGTTGGTTACGTCCTAACTCGGTGACCCCGTCGTCCGCCATAATCATTGCTTCGCAATTGGGGTTCAGCTCTCCAACTGACGCTGTGCGACTTGTTTCGGTGGGGTCCCAGCCAAGTATAGCGCATGTAGTCCTTTGAAAAAACCTCTGTGTTAGCTTACATATGCTGCTTGATTGGAGGAGATCATAGGGGCCACAACGTACTCGGTCATCCCCCAGCCTTGTTTCACATTGATACGTCCAGATTCCCAGAGCGCCTCCACCTCATCACAGACTTCTCTTCCCAGGGGCGCTGCACCGCTGGCAATCCCCTCGACACTGCTAAGATCATATTTGCCGCTTCTGACCGCAGGATGCTTGGCTAGGGCAACAACCACAGGGGGGACCAGAATAAGGTCCGTGATGCGGAATTTCTCCGTATATTCCAACATCTTGATGAAGTCGAACTTGGGCATAATGTACACAGGAACCTCACGCTTTAATGCATTCGCAATGAAAATATTCTGGGCCATCGCATGATACATCGGTAGGAAACAGAGGAACCGAGACCTAGCATTCCTTGCTTTCCAGTCCGGATTCAGATAAAACGATTGATTAGCCTGGAGCATGTTGGCGCAATAGTTCTTGTGAGAGATTTCCACGCCCTTGGGCCTCCCCGTCGTGCCGCTGGAATAGTTCAAGGCGAGGGTCTGGTTAGCCTTCTCCGGAATCGATAGATCATCCCATTCAAATCGATTGCCTTCCTCCGCAGACGCCACCAGTTCACCCCAATAGCGACAACCCATCTTGCCCTCCCCACGCCCATCGAAGATGGCATTGTTAAAAACAAACACCCGGTCCCGACTCAATCCTGCGAGTTGTGCCGCTTCAACACCAGTGTCGAGACTCCCTTCAGCGCAAATGAGGTAAGTTGCGCCGCTATCCTGGAGCTGATACGCCAGTTCCCTTGCGACGTAAGTGGGATTGGCCCCCGAGAAGATACCTCCCGCCATGATGATACCCATAAAGACAACAGGGAAGAAGAGATCGTTGCCGGAGAAGAGCAAAACCCGATCACCTGGCTGGAGACCAGCCTTGCGCAACCCTGCCGCAAAACGCTTGGACCAGAGTCGGAAATCATGGGTGGTGAAATAATGCGTGTCGGGACGAGCTGCCTCAGAGAAGCACCTATGTGTCTTTGACAACGGATGAGTGGGCGATGTGAACAGGACAGTTGCCAGGTGCGCGTCCGGGACATGCACCTGCCAACGCGATTTGAAAGGCATTATGAGTCTTGAAGATTCCACCCAGAAAACAGGGACCAAATAGCTTTCAGGAAGAGAAGCACTAATAAAGTCCAACAAACGGTAAGGAAGAGTAAGTTGCAATATAAGCCTTGAGGAGAGCAGGATCAATTCATATATAAAAGTTAGGAACAGGGGGCGAGCCAAGTAATTCACTCCAATCGAAACTTTCCCCAAAAATATGACTACCTCAAACCCCTCCCTGTAAGAACCAGCCAAATGAATAATTTATTCAAATTAATCCATTCATAATTCGAGGATCAAACCCCCATACCAAGCTTACAGAGCTCTCCCCGCATTTAGGATCGGTTAAGTCGGTACCAATCAGCTTCTCCCCGAGCGGAGATCCCGAGGAAGTAAACGCTTCATGACCTCGGGTCTTTGACTCTTTGTATTATAGGGGGAATGGGAGCCGCACTGTCCCTGGGTATGTCACACAGTTGAGGAACCAGCCGGAGTTTCTCGCAATTGGTGGGACCGAATGCTTACGAGTTGAGTGAGGGGTGCATCGCCTACTAGGTATGCAACGATTCCTAGCATATTTAGCCGGTTACATCATTTCTTTCTTTCCCTTTCTTCTTCTTCTTTGACTCGAGTCTGAGTAGAAAAGGCAAACACCCTGATATGTGGTAGGTATGTTCAATCAATGGAATACCGATAAAAGATTTCTACACCCCCTCCGTCTGCCATTTCCTGTCAAAAACATCACGCTATATCTTAGAGGATAACCCTGAACAAGTCATGGAAGGAGGAAAAAATATCAAGAAAGAACCACATAGACACCTTGAAATTGCACACAACATGAAATGGATACATTAGCTTCATTATGCCTCCTCTCCTCCAAGACAGACGAGTGTGGCTTTCAACTCGCTCACGATCTTCTCCTCCAGTCGGTTCTCAGCCCCCGACGATGAAGCATTCAATGGTTTCTGGCGTACCAACTCGGCTTCCTTGTCGCTCGTGGCCACGATCCGTGCTCGGAGGAGTTGTCTCCGTTCTAGGAGATCTTCAATGTCTTCCTTGACATGCGCTCTGTCCCATTTGAGTTCCTGGATGGATTCAGCATCCATGCCGGCACTAGGTCCCGCTTCGCGGAATCGATCCAATATAAAGGAGATCAGTGCTAGTGAGTATGCCTCGGATGTCATGCTCAGACAGATGCGCCGGGCCGTAGACCCAGCCGTGCGGTCGGCAGCAAACGCCTCGGACGCCCGCGTAAGTTGACCCTCGAATTGATTGAGGAAGGCCGCCACTTCGGGCGCTGTGCGAATAACGTGGTAGAGGAGGTTCAGGCAAAGGGGAAGGA